TAAAAAGAGAATATATTTTTGTCATGTCTATAAATCACTTCATTAATTTTTTTTCCCAATTGCCTTTAATTAAATGTTGGAGGGAGTAAATATAATATTAAAGTATGTGTATATATTTAATAGAGATAAATTTAAAAAATTATTAAATTTTTAATAGAATTAATGAGTTTTAAAACTTTTCCTTAATTCCAGTACAATATGTGGAAAGTAATTTATAAGTTATAAATATAATCAAAGGAGTAAATATTTAATGGGATGTAAAAATGAAACTCAAAACAAAAAGTTAATAACATATTAGTATTTTATAAATAGGATGAAAAGTTATTCTTTGTTTGTCTTATAAATAAGATTGGAATCGAGATTTGGTTGATGTTGGGAGAATTCACTCTCTTTGGTTCATATCTATAGAGGATGAACTTGGGAGCTTTCGCGCGAAGCTTGGACTCATGACATTTTTTTATTTCTCCCGATTGAATCTAGAAAATTATTGGAGCTGAGATTTGTTGAATTTATTTACAATTTTTTATTATCTTGTGATTTAAAAAAATAGAGAAAGTTGTTAAACGACTGATGGATAAAACAAGAGGCACGTGTAGGACTATGAGTGGGTAATCCTAAGTGTATTAAAAATTAAAAAAAGAAAAAAAACATAAAGAAAAGTTTTTTTTTTTTTTTAAAGGGCAACAGAGGGTGATGCGTGGGTGGGTGTGTGTAATTATCTCCGGCTCAGCCGCTAGATTATCACTGGTTTCATCAAAATGATCAAATGCTACTCCCCATCCTAATTTACAAATATTTTAAATAAAATCAATAAATAATAATAAAGTTTATTAAATATACTTTATAATTTTATTTTTTTAAAATAATAAATTTTAAAAATATTTTTTATTTAATACTCTATTTATAAAAGAATATTAATGAGAGGGGAAAATGAAAAGGCTAATATAAGAAAAATATCATTAGCAAAAACTTTTTTTTATCAATATGCCTTATATTTTAAAATATCAAATCCATCTCAACCCAAAAGTATATTATAAATTGGCATGGAGGGAGTATTTTTTGATTAATACTCACTCCGATTTAAAATATAAGTATCTTTTAATAAAAATTTGTATGTCAATAAAATCTTTATTTTCATCAAAATACAAATTATGTTTTTATCCTTAGACCTTAGTTTTAATTTATAATGAGTAAGAAGAGGGCCATGAATTCATGAACATAAAAAATTATGTTAATAAATACTGGGAGTAAAGTAAAAATTGTTTTTACAAGTATTAAATTATTTATATATTGAATCAAAATTAATTAAAAAAATAATTATATCCTGTATAGGAGGAGTAATATTTCTCATAATAAGTTATATTCATGAGCTAATCTTCAATTTCACCTATCATAATATAACTTTTTGGAAAAAATAATCATATGCCCTTAGAGTTGTGGATCATCAGTTTTAACCCATTCTTTAAATTTTAAGTTATTGTAACTCAATTTTTATAGTTTTAATTATATTATAACGTAATTTTTAAATTTTAACTATTCCAATTCAATTTTTATAATTTTAATCAATTAAAGTATTGATATCTATATTTTAAAAAATTACCAATATTAAAATTATTTAAATTTTTTAATCTTTAAAAAATTAAAAGAGTTTAGTAATTTAAAATACTAGTCTCAAAATAATAAAGATTGAATTGCATTAAATTAAATTTTATAAATTAAATTATAATTGGGTAAAAATTATAGGCATCAAATAAGTAATTTTTCAATTACTTTTAATAGTCAATTCACATCGATGAGGATATTGACATGCTGGCCGAGTATCTTTAAACCCCTCGGGCTTAAACAAGAGAGAAATAATTAAGTTATTGATTTTATTTAAAAATAAAAGAAGTTTTTGACTTTTTTTTTCATTTAAATAAAAAATTTTAAATTTACCTTATATTCCCACTTAATAAATTTAAATTTTAATATTTTATCAGGTAAATTATATCGAGGACTGCCTATCTATTCTAGAATATACTCTTTTTTGCCTTTTTAAAATGATTCTTTTATCTGTAATATAAGATATTGAAAATTTTGATTTTTTAGTCTTCAAACTTTTAATTCACTTATAACTCAATCTCTCAACTTTTGAATCACTTATAAATTAATCCCTGAATTTTTATTAATTTTTTTTATGTTAATTTATATCTCACATCAATGAATAAGAGAAGGATATTTTAGAATAATATATGAGTATTTTTTTATCCCTCTTATTTTATAAGAAATTTTTTTTAAAAATTAAAAAATAAGGATCAAATTATAAGTGAATCAAAAGTTAAAGGATTGAGTTACAAGAGAGTTAAAAGTTGAAGAATTAAATGATTAATTCTTTTAAAGATATTTGATAGGATATTAATTATATTTTTTAATATTATTTATTGATTATAAAAATTAATGTAATTTAGGTTTGAAAACTTTCCATTCTTTTTTGTTTTTTCCGGCCAAAGGAAAACTTGCCATTCAAATGAAAATAAAGTTAAAAATTTATTTTAGTTTCAAGTAGAGTTAATGAATTAATTACACAAGTGCTCATCACACGGAGCAAAGAGCATGGTATAGTAATTTAAATTCCCAAAAAAAAAAAAAAAAAAAGGGACAGCGGGGAGGGTGGTACTGTAATTTGGTGGCCCAAGACGGCGTCGCAGAGAGATCACGTGAGAGGGGCATGCAGTGGAACTTGGATCTAAGGAGGGGGTAGACTGACGTGGCCTACACTCTTATGCTGTGCCCTATTCTCTGCACCTCATGCACTTGATTCTTCTCCCTCCTCTCTCTCCGCGTTTCATCCTCCCTTGCATGATGCTTACGCCCACTCTATTTTTAGTTTCTAATATATATACATATATATATATATATATATATTGTTTTTGGTCAGAAGTTTCTAAAATATATAGTTCTTTTTTTTATGCATAAAGAGTATGAGAGTATGTTTCGAGTAAAAAATAAATCTCTTTCAACTAAATTATTATATATAAATTAATTATAATTTGAATTTTTAATTATTTATATTTAACTGATAAAATAGTTGCTTGTTTTGTGTCTTGTTCTTTGTTCCTTGTGCTAGTTTTCTCTACGTAAATTTCATATATTCTTCTTTTTTATTGTGAAAATATTTCATCAATTCGAACATGAGTACATGACCCTTGATTTTTGAAGTTAAATTGAAGAATTCAGACACCTTGAATAGTAGCATCACAACTTGATCTTCTAAGTCGATTCTTAACCTTACAAAGGATTTTTGAGGGGATCAAAAATTTATATACTTTCTTCATATTATAATATTATAACTAATTTATGTGTTTTTTTAAAATTTTTATATCTTTCTAAACGTGCCCTTAAAAAGAATAAATATAATATTTAACTTAATCAAAACACTATATTGTGGATCAAGCAGGGTTTATAAAAAATGCTATATATTATGACCCAAGAAAAAGTATTTTATTAGATCCTATATTTAAATTATTTTTAATTACTTTATAACAGTAAAAGACGTATAGTTAAATAATTGATATTGTTTAAAAATTATTTTTTTAATTTACAGTTATTGAATATATAACATTTAAAATTATTTTCTCTCTAAATAACTTTTTACTATACGCATTGAAGATTATGAAAAGGTACCATTCAAAAAAAGTAATTAATTATCCAATTTTTTTTTATACAAAGTTGATTTATAAAAAAGCAATCAACTTCTTTCAAAAGGTAATTATATATATAACTGGAGGAAACAATGCGAGAGCAAATTGGATTATTGAAACAAATCAGCTGTTCCATCTTTGCTTCTGAAGGGGAGACATCACTGTAAGCTCAGATTAAAGTATTAAAAACAAAGAGAAAGCCTGAAACCAAGCATTAAATGGCTCACAAGATGTTACATCAAATTTATGGCACCACATTTTTATAGGAATAACTTATGAATGAAGTATATTCCCCGAGTTATTGAACATTTGTGTGTGTGTGTGTAGTTAAAATAGATATTTGATTTGTGTTTGACGTTATGAGCTCCACGCTTCAATGTCCGTAAAATAGGAAATAAAGTAGTGGGTCTTGACATCAGAATAGGAAATGTTTAATAAAACGGCAGCTCTGATTATGCCTACTTCTAAACCTCAAATGCAGTGGAGAGGCAACATTGATGTGTTTGTAGGGCTGTTGGCCCACCACTTCTAATGAAACCCAGCAGATAATGGGCCTCTTTTCTTTTTAATAATTAGTTTTCTTGTAGCATTGGATTAGTTTATGCTTTTAAAGGACCTGTCACAATTAGGTCCCATGATATTCAAATATGATCAAATCAAATAACCATATAAAAAACTGATAAATATTTGATTCAACTGATTGAGAAAGTTGAAACAATTTATCCTAAAATCTTGAATTTGAATCCTAAAATTTAAAATTGCATTAAATAAAAATACCAAATACATTTCCCAAATAATCATGAGACTTTTGTTGATAATAACAATCTCACACGATAAGATTCAGATTAATCTAGGTGGATCATAATAATGCTCCAAGTTTTTCAAGATTAAAAATAGCTATAGAAAAAATAGACGCAGCCACCCCCTACATACGAGTGCGCAGACTCGCTTGTGACCTTAATGAAGAAAGGTTTGGTGGTATAAAGCCATTGGCTTTTGTTTTTGTTTTTACTTCAAACTAAAAGATGATGGTTTTTTTGGTTTTATTTTTCATTTTATTTCTCTCACCAAAGAGAAAAGTAAGCCTAGGAGCAAAAGTTAAGCAAACTATACCAGAAGGCGTCCCCCTAAAAGCAGAGCTTACTGCTATGACTCAAAAAAAACAATTTCTACTCAACCAGTCCTAAACCTAGACCACCAAAACTCGAGCCGAGCTGAGCTGAGCCGAGCCCCCAGCCTCCAAGAAAAAAAATTTATTACCAATTTTCTCAATCTACCTATGGCTTAATTCAAGAGACAGTGAACATTACAACAAACAAGTAATAATATGGTTCTACTAGCTCTAGTATTAACCCTCAAAACAATGTTTATGACATGGTCATTAGGCACAGAAAGAGGCATAAAAACTCGTGTCAGCCAATACAATGCCCTTCGCCTGTCAAATGCAGGCATACATTGAGCCCTGAAAAGTTTAAATAAATTATACTTCCAGGTATCTCCAAAGAGAAATAAAACTTCATTCCGATCAGCTTGATCAAAACACTGAAAAATTCCTGATTTTGACGATGGGAACACCTACCAAATTATAGAGGCATCGGTCCTTAGTCCTTGGATGCAATAGTTTCTTTGCAAGTGTGAACCACCTAGGCCAAAGCTAGCCACATCGATCAGTGATAAAATATAATGTTGGGATTTAAGTATATAAGAGAAATTCTGTAGGCATACAAAATCACTTGTTAGCACATGTATCTTTCACAATGGTGTCGCAATAGATAAACTGAAACACCGGATAATTCACAGCAAAAGAAGGTAATAAATTTCCATCAATTCTAACATATCAAATCATATATATAAATTCTGCCCAGCGGTTCGGTCCCCAAACATTGTTTTTGTTTAGCTCTTGTATTCACTGGAATTGATAGCATATGACATCATGCAATCGCATTGGATCTCATATCTAGTGTTACCAAGGTTGATCAGAATAGTGTGCTATTATATTTTACTTCCTGCATCTCACAGTTTACAATAATACTGTTTGCTGAATTGTTTTCCATGCCTCAAGTACGGCTAGGATACTATCAAACTAAACATAAAGAACTACCATGATGCACAAGAAAATTTTCACTTTTCTGTAAAGTGCAATTTCTGTTATTTTTATGGGGGGGAAAAGAAAACGAAAGGAAAGAAGACTGGCAGCTAGGCTAGACAAATCATATAACCAGTTTCTCTGAAGAAGTATTGGCTATAGGAAATGCATGCTGGAAATCTACCCTGCACAGGATGCAACATTAGGTAGAACGGAGACTAAAGAGCATCTGCCTCCCCATGTGCCTCAACAGTTTTTTATTTTTCGATTTCTTTTTCTTTCCTTTCCTTTTCTCTTCTTTCCTTTTTTGTTTTTTAAATAAGTCTCCAAGCAAATGAAGAGCCCTTGCAACCTCCACAGTATATGGGAAATTTCAAACAGTGGGTGCCAAGAAGAGAAAATTGCAGCAACTAGAAAGAAAAGTAATGTAATCTATTTAATTGAAGATGTATTATCTATTGGAAATCCACTTGTAGGAATGCTACTCTTCACACAATACAAAATCTGTTGAACTAAGACTAAAAGATCCATTGCCTCCAACTGTACCTCAAAACGGCTTTCGAAAGAAAAAGCCTCCAAGCAAATGAATGATCCTGTCAGGCCACAGATTATATAAGAATATGCCAAACTTGGCTCAAAACAGCAACTTGCCATCAGACAATCATCTATCTTCTCAAAGGTTCTAACTGTACTTCCATTCTTGAAGAGGAATCTAAAACTTCCTCAGCAGTTGTCCTGTTTGTGCTCAAGAGATCAAGAGAATCGTCTGACTCGAGATTACCAAACACCCAATTGCTTCTTCCAAATATATGATCCCTTCGTAGCTCCTTTTCACGGTACTCTAGATAGGCAAGCACAAGTGCAAGTGTTAAGAACCAAATAGCCAAAGCCCAATTGAGTCCGTGAATATTCTCAGCACCATATCTCTGGCCGAGATGCTTCATCCCACTAAACAGTGCAGCAATCCCTAAGACAATAGCAGATCTGCCAACAATTATGTGAAAGTACTCCCAAATAAGCCTCTTAATGGGCAAATGCTCCCCGTTTCCTGGTTTTTGAGGCCTTAGGGATGCATTCACTGGCTGTACACAAGCCAAGAACATTGCAGCTATGCCAAATTTAACATGTAAAGAGCTGACATAGAAACCCTGCAGCTCTCCCACAGCAAAGAGAAGGGCAAGTAAAATAATAGCTAACCCTGAGGATTGCATGTAAATATGAATCCTGTACCATAAATCACCCTTAAGATGCTTTGCATATCTGGCTGCCAATATACCACCAGGAAGCAAGATACCCCATGCAAGAAACATCATAATCCCATGCACTGCTAGGACAGGAAGCAAGTCTTGCTCTGCTTCTGCAGAACCACGCATCAGTAGTACACGGATAGGCCTACTGCTTGTAAGAGAATGCATATTCCTCTCGCTAAGATGTTCATAATCCCATGAAGCACCCATTGCCCAAACAATGTGAAGAGGAGTGGTGGGATCAATGATATTTTTACATTCTGGCCTATCCCCTTGATTACAAGATGGATTCAAAGGACGCGTAAATTCCAAAGTAATGATGCCATTTTCTGTTTTGCATCTGACATATGTCAAATTCTCATTCGTTTGATGTATACTTGAGGCATCCTTTCCATCAATCCAATAAGTGTTTACACGACCAACAGCATTTTCGTCAATCCATCCTACGTAAGCGTAACTTTTTACCATTCCAGTTCCAAATCCTATTGCAAGATATCCACTTTTTTTCTCAGCACGAGCTGCAATAGATATTGTATCCTCTGCCAATGTCCAAAAGAAAGTAACCTGTTGATCATCCAGAACAACACTGCTATTGTACATGTCTGACAGGCCCCCATCAACTACCTCCACTTTCCAACCCATCTTCTGTTCAAACAATGAATGATAGTAGATATGATCAGGAGTGTTCCTGTCAGGAACCCAATCTAACTCTTTGGGACTGGCTTGAACTCCTTCGGCTTCAGGGCCTCCAAAATAAATGGTCTCGGTCAAATTCCTCAAGGTTGCATTTCCACCAATTGGATCTGATGTGATATAAAGTGCAACATCATGCCCAGCTTGTATTGAAAACTTAACTGGCATCCCTCTCTCCACTCTTAAGACAGGAGCTTCCTTTTTGTTGATGTAAAGAACTTTAGCTGGATTTGGAGGGTTTGGGTAATGTAATGCGGGGCCAGATGAAACTACCAATGGAACTTTTGCATCTGCAATGATAATATCTTGATCTTCCTTATCTTCTGCATCAATAGGACCTAGACAGTCATTCAAATGCTGTGACACATTCAACACCAAATGCCCATATGTCTCAAATGGTGGTCCCCCATGATTTTGAGGAAGATAGTAAGGCCAAAAAGAGTCAGGAGGTTTAATCAACCCCAAAGCCCAAATCACTGTCATATTTGCTGTATGGTTCACTGGGTGATCATACTTTTCTTGCACCTTACTCAATGGCCTCCGATATCGAACAAATGAGACCCCATCCTTCCTATGCCCATAAATTAACTTTGTGTTGTTTTCTGAAGAAACCCCTTCTGACGCTTCATAAACTGAATCAGGACAAACCCCTTCCGGCAATCCATCGCTCTTGTTCATACACTCACTGTACTTGGTAATGTAAAAGTCATCTACAAGTGGCAAACCATCTTCCTTAAACCCTGTCACAACCACATCAGCTCCAATCATGAGTTCAGAACTAGAAGAATTCGGGTCTGCCCAACCAAATGCCATGTAATTTAGAATTCCAGTAGCGGCCTCCAACCCAATATCAACAAAATCCTCCTTAACGTTTAGCGTCCACCTAACTCTGAAAGCCTTTGATAACACCTTACAGTTCTCAAACATAGTTGGCTCCGTGTGATTACGACCTCTGTCCGCCCCACGACCAGCGTTGCTTGAAGGCGAAGGAGCCAAACTAGGACTGGGAGAAATCGCAGTACCATTCATCAACTCCCCAAGCATGACATGCCCAAAATCCGAGGCAGTGGGGATATCCCACACAGCCAGGACCTGGATCATATCCCATGTAATATTCTCCATCAAACGCACGACAAAGCTAGCATTCTTGTAAGTATCGTTCAATTTATGATCAGACACAATGAATCCCGCAGTGAGGTTGTCGAAATCAGAATCGGTTGCACCCCACCAATGGACATCGGACCCAGAAAGCATATCGAATTGTGAAACCCTAAATGAACAATCATCAATGATTTTCACATACCCTCTCAGCTGGTGCTGAACCATTTTGAACTCGGACTCCAAATCGACAAGTGGGCTGTTCCGGCCGCAATTCCCACCGGGATCCGCATACCCGAAGAACAGGAAGTTGAAAAGGAATGATATGAGTACGGATTTGTGAACCATGAGGATGGGATCCAAATTTAAAAGATCTACTATCCGCCCAATCCTTCGGACCCGAATTGCCGCTTATCAAACAGCGAGGAACCCAGAAGAAGACGGAGGTGCCGGAGGGCGAGATCGCCGCCGCCGCCGGTGGAAGTGTCGTTGGGCGATCAGGATTGTAATTGTAATTTTAAAAGTTTGTTGTTGCACGTTGGGGTTGACGTGGGAGCACGAAAGGCGAGATCTTAGGTTGCTTAGCACCGAGACAATAAACAGCAGAGTTGCATGGAAATGGTGTTCAATTTGTTGACGATAACAACTTTATTCGAATTATTCCGTTGCCATGATATTATGATCGGGGAAAATCACATCAACTTCATAGAATTTTTAGTGAATATAAAACACATTTTTTATAAGTCACTGGAAGCTTGAATAATGAATGGGTCATGGTATTAATTAGAAGTTATATTGACCACCACGTCTATTTTTTAATTTTAATTTTCTTTCAAGTTTTTTTTTCTTCTGCAGCAGATTATCCTTCCCATTCTACTTATAACTAACTCTCAATTTCAATTTTTTATAAAAAATTGAGTGATGAAGTGATATAAAGGATAAATTGAATGATGAACTATTTGAATTTTTTGTTATTAGTTACTACCTTTTTTTTTTCTAGAACTCTTTTTATAATGCTCGTATAAGTTTGTTGCATATGCAAAATTAAGAGCCTAGATGCTTGATGCCAAAAAATTTATTCCTACTTGACTTGGGTAGTTGCTACAAGTTTTAATAGTTATGTTCTATTCATAACTCAATGCTTACTTAGTCTGAAAGATCTATTTTAAATGGATTAGACTCTATTTCATTGAATATTGTATTGAGCCTGACTTTTCATTTCTTGTTATATGGAGTTTTTATTTGAATGTTGACATTTTAGGTCCAAACAACTAAAATGTAGGGAAAGCATACAGCGACTCATGATCTATTGATAATGCATTCACAGACCAAAGAATTACTGAATTAGTAAGATGGCCATCTTCGAGAAGTTAAGGAAGGATATTGAATATGTATGGACAAGCTTTCTCCTTTTGGTTTAGCAAGAGCAATGTGAATGGTTTTCTTCTGATAGCTTATGTTAAACTATTAAAGTGCCTCCTTCTCCATAAGACCATACTCAATATAACCTGGAGGAAATCCTAACAAAATAACACATTCAAAGCAGACTCGGACCTCAGCATTAGGTGTAGCAATAACTCAAAATTTGAGGGAGGAGTCGAGGAACGGAGGGACTGACTAGACAAACGAAGAGGACATATAATCAAAGTCAAAGATGATGAAATTTCAGTAGAGGACTTCGGTCTTCGAACATATCTCCTCGTTGTGGCCTGTGACTGTGGGTTTGGGAAACAGATTAGGAGATGACTCGACTCAGATCATCAAATGAGAAGACGAAGGCGAGAGGCCGAGAGCGAGGGGCAACAACTTAGACCTAAAGTGAACTTGGACTTTGAGCGAGGGGCTCATTGGGTTGAGCTTGTAGTTGTCAAAAACACGAGTCAACTTGCTGAGTTGACCGAATTAACGTTTGTATCTAAGAAAAATGAGTTGACTCGTATATAAACTCGCTTATTTGCAAACTCGAGTGAAATTGCTTGCCATGCACACAGAATCGGTAGAAATTTGTGTTAACACGGCACACGAGCGATTCATAACTTGGAACATTTTGAGACAAATCAAATGTTCAGATGCTAGAACATATGCTATATATGCTATTCCCAAATCTTTTGGAAATATGATTGTGTTTTTTCCACTAAAAAAATTAATTTCCACAGGTTTTAAGAATAACAAATGGATAATTTTTGTAATACTTTTTTTTTTTGAAAATTCTCTATTTATGTTTGAATTTTATTTAAATTTGATGTTCAGTTTGACCCCAAAAACATTGTGATGTTCAGTAACATTTACAGATTATAGGATATAATGAATTTTTAAGATAATATAATTTGAACCATATAATTATACATTAAAGTTATCCAAAGTTTATTCTATTTATTGTTACCCTACTTAACTTATTTTTATAAAAGTATTTTATAATTAAATATTAATAGAGGTAAATTTTTATGATTTTACAATACGAGAATATCTATTTTATGAGTTTATCTTAATTTTATGAGTTTATTTAATCTCATCAGTTTGATAACCTTAATTGAGCTTGTTCACAACACATAATCACTATTTGCAAATTAAAACTAGTCCAATCGGTTTGACTTGATAACTAGTCACAAGACTGTTCAGTTAACTAAGTAATCACTTCATGAATTAATTTTTAACTTAAAAAACCCGATGAACCCAATGGGTTAAATGATTATTTAAATGAAAGTTTATTGTTACTTATCTTTTTATTTTGTATCCACCTTTTAAACTGTGAACACTGAATCAAATATAAATCCTCTAATTAATATTTTTAATGTTGTTGTTCAAATATGTAACATTCCGGAAGAAACACCATGAAGGTTCCAACAGTTGAAACTTGAGAGGAAAATGAGTCTGAGCACCGTGAAGCCAAAAGACACACCTTTCGAAGTATATGACTAGAGTTAAAATTCTAGGTTATTTGAAAAAAAAAAAAGGAGGAAAATGGTTAAATCTACCCTTTAATCCATTGAAGTTCACTCTTTTAACTTAACATACGCGTCACATCTCTTTGATCTCATGGTATAAGATATCTGTTAAAGGACTTAATTGGCACAACTCATAATTAAAGGACCGAATCGAAACAATGTTTCAATGGATCAATTTTGATATGCGATATACTAATTAAAAACTTAAATCAGGGACTACAACCGAAAAAACCTTAAATCAGGTGGCAAAGAACATAAGGGAAGCTTACAAACCATGCAGGTATCTCATAGACGTTCCAAATAATTATCACCTATCTTCTCCAGTGAGAGACTACATATATTCGATCAGTTAGGCTGTCTCCGTATACAATATTCATTAAAAAAGGCATCAACCCCTACTAGATCCAGATGACTTGAATTTAACGTACTGAGAAACTTCTCCTTTCGTCACAATCTTCAAGAGAGAGCCACAAAAGGATGAAAAGTAGAATTTTCGAAGCACCTATTTTCTTCAAGTTGCTTCATGTTTTGCTAATAGGTATCAGGATCAAAATAATAGCCGACATTGTCAGAGAAATCACTGCCGTCTGAGAATGCATAATAGTCAAACTCATAATCATCATCTGACAAGAAATCTGTGTCTGAGATCCCCAAGGGATAGTCTTCATCCAATGATCCAACATCACGAACTGTGGCATCAAAAGGGTAGTCATTAGTAGGATCATTCGGACGCCGTAAATCTTTGATCTGTTCAGCACATCTTTTTCCCAAAGTTCCTTCCAAATTAATATTGAAACACTGTCGCAGGTCAAGGGATTCAAGGTGAGGACAACCATCAAGAATGGCATGCAGACCAACATTAGTCAGCTTGTTACCAAAAAGCTGGAGATGGCGCAGCTCAGGCATGGTTTTAGCAACAGCAAAGGCCTCATCATCAGATTCAATGTGAGGACGTCTGAAACCTTCCATATTGAATTTCAAGGATTTTATACGAGGGCAGTTTCGGCCAATAACTTCAAGAGAACGCTTAGATATGTTGCCAATTGAAATGTCAAGTTCCTCCAACAGTGGAAGTTTCCCAGCAACTTCGCACAATCCCTCATCTGATATATCATCGCAGCAAGCAAGCCTAAGACAACGTAGGTGGCTTGTACTGTAACATAACAAGACACGATGAAAGGGCGGTGATGTTAACATCAAAATACTCTCCCAGAAATGAGTAAAACCTACATAGTCAAAATACATAAACAAAGAGTTTAACAGCATGTGCAGGCACATAAAAGGACATATAGGTTCCAAAATATAAAAACGACAATTAACTAATGTCAGGCTCATCTTTTCTTCACGAAGACATCAGAAGTCATTTGTGACCGCAAAATACATGCTAAGCCTAAGCTTAAAAAAAGTTTTGCCAAACTACTTTTATACTAGTGGTACTATATGGTAGTGAATGTTGGGAGATGAAGAGGCAATAAGAGCAAAAGATTGGTGATAAGGATATTGAGGTGGATGTGTGTTCATATGAGGAGAAAAAAATATCTACAAAGAAAATATATGAGGAAAAGATAGTAGAAAATCATAAATCATTTTAGGTGGTTTGGACAAATGCAAAGGCCAATAGAAGCACCAATGAGACAAGTTTGGTAGATAGTCTTTAGTCCTATAAAAATATGTAGAGGGAGGTCAAAGGAAACACTCAAAGAAATTATCAAATCAAGGCTCTTACTGAATGATATATTTGAAAAATTGGTTGCTAATGGAACACAACAGCGTCGTGTGATCCATGTAGTTGATATCATGAGGATTTGAATCTTAGACCACTACCCACACCCCATCCCTATCCTTATCACCCGAATTAACCTTGGATGGCATCTACTTTCATCTTTCAATATAACAATCATAAAGTCAATCCACGGAAAGGAGAAGCATTGTCTAAAACTCTGAACTTAAAAAGGGGAAAGGAAGAAAACAAAAGGAAAATAAGCCTTTAATGATAAGATCCATAACCTTCCTCTCTATCTTTCACACATTGAACAGCTAACACACGAGAATTATGTTTCTGTAGTCTTCCTTGTCAAAAAGTGACCAATTATGAAAATCAGGATCAGAATCAAGTCAATCAACCATAATTATCTCTCTTAAGCTTTAACTAATTACATTTGATATCCTTCATTAAGAAAATTACAGCAAACATCTTTATCAGAGACAGGTATTAGATAATGATATTAATGTAAATTCCTAGTGCTCTACCCAAATTTTAAACAAATTCATTGTGCTTTTCATCCAAGTCATCTACTTTCATCCAGGCAAAGGGTCTCCAAAACTAAATCACAACCCTGGGCTTTCAGTCCCTCCAAACCAGCTAGAAACTGCTCCTCTCTTCCAACAATTACCCCCTACTTCTAATTATGTACACCCATCTAGAGCTCCTTTAGGTTCATGAATATATAGCATAGTTCTTGGGCCTTCACTTTCATGGTAGAAGGAGAACTCCATTTCATTAACTTCAAAGTTAAGATTAAATCTGCAGTAACATCAAGTGACCGAAACTCATTGCACTGTAACGAATAGAAAACGATACATCTAATTATTGCCTCCAGCAAGACCACTATTTGCATTTCCAACCTAATATGTTCCCTATAACGCAATACAAAAGGACCCCCGTGAAAAGGAAAGGAATCTTCCTCGTTCGAAACGGTCGCAACTTAAGGAAACATAACCCTAAAAGTGCTTCCGCAATCCAGAATGCATTCAATTTTCACTTCCAAACATGCCAATCCCTTTCTGAAGAAAGGACGCAAATAAACAATCATATCCCTCAGTACCACACAATTGAAAGAAACTCATGGTAATGACAGTACCCAAAAATGGGAAATCCAGAGCCATAGAATTTCTTACTCCACAAACCTACGAAAACCAGCTACCTAGAACGTTCGAAAAATAACAACAGAAAAGTGTTTTCAGCTTACCTATCAGTGATGTACTTGAGCAGATCATCAGTACCGAAGTATTCGATATTAATATCGACCAATTGACCACAACTTCGGTCAACAGCGTGGCGGCACATAATCCCCAAATCGTAAGGCATATCATGGAGATCCCCCGGATTTTGCATGTCAATGGCGCGCCACATGGTAGGGTCCTTGCAGATGCTCCGCCACGAAGTGCATACACACCGAGCCCTCGTGAGGATGTCTACAGCGCCGAGTTTCAGGAGAATCGTCACCGTCACGTCCCGAGGAAGGTCCAGCCAGTTCCTGGTTTCACGTTCCTCATTATCAGATAGTTCGTTCGAAGACAAGTACGAAGACGAGGCCGAGTAAGAAGACGAATACGACGACATGATTGAAGCTTCCTTAGTTCCCCCAGAAACCGATTCTGCGAGAAAACCGGAAAACTTGATGGTTTCAAAATCGAAACCCTCGTTCTTACCATTGGCGGTGAAATGAAAACTGGGCTTTTGACTTTTGAGACCTCAACCAAACTTCTCAATCTCAAATAAAACGCGTGGTTTTTTGGATCTTCGCTCCCCCCCAAAAAAAAAAAAATCTCCTAGAGAATATGTTTTTATTTTTTTGACAATCTCAATTAGCTATTTTTTTTTTTGGATAAGCAAGGAAAAAAAGCTAAAAAAAATACAAAAATACTAGCTTTAGCTTATGGAGGGTCACAGACGACTGTCACAGAAAATCTGCTCAGGTTGGAGAAAATGAAGTCCAGGTGCAGAGTTCAATGCCATCTTAGCACACCAATGGGTCAGCCTTTCCGTCAGTAGCTCTTTTTGTAAAAGGCAAATGGGAGCAACAATATTATGATTATAAACTCTTTAGACTCTTTAGATAAAACTCACTTCCAAAAAATACCTTATAAAAAAAAATATTTAGCTGACTTATAAATCATATCATACTAATGTGATGTGAAATTTATAACACAAAATTACCATCTCTTGGAGACAATCTCAATTTGCCTTTGTTAATGGCATTTTATGACCAACTTTTAGGCAGCATTTACAGTGATATTGAGAAGAGATAATAAATCGGTGCAGTCAATTGAGTGTCATAAAATTCCAAAGCTGTTTTTTTTTTTCCTTCTTATTTTTAGCGAAACACTGTGGAAAATTACGGTGTATTGATAAAAATAAGCATTTAAATTGATTACTTTAGAAGAGCTACTGTGTCAAAGTATTTTTAGTTGAGCATTTTTTTTGGCAGCACATGTAATTTTTGGGTAAAATATATAGTTTAATCTAAAATTATCTTGTCTTTGCATGTAATACTTTCCATCGTAATTTGGAAACTCATAATTCATTTATTGAATTTACACATTATTATAAGTAACAATAAATTATTTGTTGAATTTACATACTATCAAGTGTTATGCGTAACAATAAATTGGTTCTAATATTTACTCAATCCTATCTATTAAATTATTTTTTGGATAACAAGTCAAACGATAAAATTAAAGCCAATAAAAATTTCAATTCATAAGTCAACAAAATAAAGCAAAGAAAATAGAGGAATCAAATATTGATTAATTCGTTCCATTGAAACCAAGCTAAGAGAACCTAGCATATGTTGAATGTCCCAAAAGATAATACTCCCTTCTGAAAAAACTGTGATAGCAAGAAATTTTTAACATGCATGAAAATCTTCAATCCTCTCCACCTCAACTATCGTGTCATGAGTTGGTTGCAAGGCCTACTATCATCCATTGCAACATGCTTGGAAGACATGCAAGAAAATTGTGTATTAAGTGATATTAAATTAATTTAAATATTGAAAGTCTTATACACAGTTTGTAAGTTTTATAAGTAAAAGCCTAAAAGGCTTTAGTAGAGCACCACATCTCAACTGTAGATTAGATTATCCTCTCCACCAAGTTGATCTTTTCTTATTATTCTCTCTCTTTTTTTTGATCTTCTGTTAGTTTTTTATCTGTTTTAAATCGAGTGTTGAATTAGTTTTGGATATTATTAACACTATCAAATTAATTTTCTTTTTTATTCATAAAGTAACTCACAAGCTAATTTATTTGAGAAAATTATAATCAAGTCTTACAGAAGAAATTTAAATACAGTTAAGTCTCACAAAATAGAGAAATTATTTCACAGTCTCTTGGTCCTTTAGTGTGATTAATTTTATAAGTAAAATTACTCATTTGTCATGGCTGAATCAAAAGGAAAAGGCAAAAAAAGAGAAGTCATTTTTGTACAATGGAGGTAACAAGCTAAGCTCTCATGATCATCTTCGAAAAAGTGAGCTAGATAGGATTATTTTGTAGCTAAAATACAAACCCATTATTATCCTCTCATCCCATATTGCTGCATTTTCGATCTCTAAAGTGCATTCAGTGTTTGCGACTGTAGAAGTTTGTCAAGAAAGAAAAGCCTAGCTTCGACCTGCAATTTTACTATTATTGTGACCACAGCGAACAAGGTAAATGATGAGATCAATTTACATGTGTTACTTGCTAATCATTTAATTCAATCTTTTATTGTTTGTTGGTCGAATAAAGCCATGTAGGTTGTCTCTTTCTCTCTTTACGAGTATATTAGTTTAGGTGGTCTCTATAATAGATTTGTCAATTCAACCTAAACCACATAGAACATACTGACAACTACTCATAGCATATTGACAATTTACACTTAAGTTATTAACAACACATTTTGTCATTTCATAATAGATTTATCAGCTAAACTTACTTTTTATAGTAGATTTATTAGTTCAACCTAAATCACATAGAACATATTGATGACTTACACTTGGGCTATTAACAACACATCTTGCCATTTAATAACAAATTTATCAACTTAATCAAGTAGCACTATAATCTTAAATACACCATTACAAACACAAGGCCTGTGACTGCTCACCACAAATATACCACATAAAGAGAGAAAGATAGGCCACCCAAATTAATATACTCGTAGAGAGAGAGACAACACACATGGCTTTATTCAACCAACAAATAATAAAAGATTGAATTAAATGATTAGCAAAGAATACATGCAAATCGATCTCATTAATTACCTTGTTTAGCACAGTCACAGTAACAGTAAAACTTATTATTTAAAATATTCTTCAAATATCTTTTATCATTATTGTGTATATATCTCAATCATTATTAGAAAATATTATTTAATATTATTATATAATTAGTCATTATTGTATTATTTATTTTCTTTGTGTATATAATGTACCATTCATCTCAATAATAGATATGATATTTTTTAATCTTTCTCTAGTTTATCTCCTTCATCTTTGATATGGTACCAGAGCCATATAATATTTCTTTTTCCCACAATAAGTTAGTTTTTTAAAGAGTGTTAGCTTTCCTTCGTAGCAGTGTTGCTATCCTTCATCACAAATTTAGATCCACCTTAAATCTATTTGCGTATATCCACAAGGCAATTTCAGTAAATTGACATTTACAAATTCATTAACCATTGGATCATGCTAAAATTTGGTTAGCAGGCAAAAAATATCCAACACGTCATTTTTAATGGTCAGATCGTTGATTATTTTTCTAGTGTGACTGCTATATTATTTGTACTATAGTCTCTGGCTTGGGTGTTTTTAATCCTTCATTTTCTTTTATAAGCCTTTTTTCCTTTAAAAAAATAAAAAATTTAGATATTGCTCAATCTATATTAGTTACCTTAAATGGTTGCAATTACCATTTTTGATTGAAAAAATGTGATCTTACTCAACTTACTTTGGGATCCTCTCCGATTGAACTTGAAACTTTATTGAGTACATTCATCTCGAGTTTCTCTAGCTCATCTACTGCCTTATCTACTCTCACTGATAAATTCATTTGGTATTTTAACTTTGCTTGTTGCAATTATATGACGAGTCAAGAAAATTTCTTCTCCTATATGACACCTAACTCTACTGCCTATCCTATACACATTATTGATAATTCTCAAATACTCATAAGTCATATTGATATTGTCTCCTTACCTTCTTTATTCATTCATGATACATATTTTGTTCCTACCATTAACTTTAACCTTTTTTTGTTGGACAACTTGTTGAAATGGGTTATGACATGTTATTTAATAAATGTGGTTATGTTATGATGGATTCTCAAACAGGACAGGTTATCAAGATCAGGTGCAAAGTTGGTCGTATGTTCGAACTCACCTTTATGCACCTACTTGAGATCATTGTTCCCATGTTATGCGTTGCCTCCACATCCTCTTCTCCTAATTCTTCTCTTGACTTATGGCATTGTCGTCTTGCTCACCCTTCTTTAAGTAAATTGTGTCCTTTAATTTCTAGGTTTTCTGTTAGGCCATTTTATAGTCATTCTTTACAATGCATTTTTTGTCAGATTGCTAAACAACTTACTTTGTCTTTTCATAAAAATGATTCTATTCTTGCTTCTCCATTTGATTTGATTTATTCTAATATTTGAGGTCCTGTACCTACTCCCTTTATGGGAGGATCTTGATATTTTGTGATTTTTGTTGATGACTTTTTTGTTTTATCTGGATTTATATGATGAAACATCGATATGAGCTATCTGAATTTTATATCAAATTTGCTACTATGATTCACACTCAGTATTATAAAGTTATAAAAAAATTTTGTCACGGTAATGCTTTAAATATCGTGACTCTAGATTACTCACCTTTCTTGATTCTTAAGGTACTATTTCTCAATATACTTGTCCCTATAATTCTTAACAGAATGGTCGTGCTGAGCATAAACACCATCATATTCTTGATTTTATTAGGTTATTGCTCATTTTCTTTTCTTGTCTAAAATGATTTTAGGGTGAAGCAGCCTTAACCTCTATCTTTTGCATCAATCAACTCTTATCTCCTATCACCGATAACATTTCTCCTTTTGAGTGTCTCCTTGATTATCCTCTCAATTATAATCTTTTGAAAGTCTTTGCTTGTACCTGTTTTGTTCTTCTTCCGTCTTATGAGATAAACAACAAATTTCAAGCTCGTTCTCGTGTTTGTTGTTTTCTTGGTTATGATTCTACGCATAAAGGTTATCATTGTTGGGATCCTCTCTCTTACCGTATTCATATTTCTCGGCATGTTGTCTTTTGAGAGAATATCAAGTTTTCATCTTTAATTGATTTCTCATCGTTCTCATCTTCTTTACCTCTTATTTTTATATATATTTCTAGTGATCTTTTTTCCAGTCACACAGGAACAAATTCTTCTAATGAGCTCATTTTTGCATTGACGTTACGCCCACTCCAGATGTGCCTACTGTCACACTTATTGCTCCTCCAACATAAGTCACGCCTACTGAGCCCATATCATCCACAGACTCTCAGCCCAATTGTATAAGAAATCCTCCCTTTTACCTCAATGATTACCATTATTTTTTCACCATTCTCTAGTTTCAGGGATCTAAATCCTTTAAAAAAGCCTCTTGTGATCCCCTTTGGTAGAAGCTATAGATGATGAATTACAGGCCCTAGAAAAAATGCATACTTAGGATCTTGTTGATTTTCCTCATGGTAAAACTCTAGTTGGGTATCGATAGGTCTACAAGAACAAGACTCATTCTAATGGTTCTTTGAAGTGATATAAAGCTCGCTTGGTGGCCCAAGGATTCACACAGGAGTATGGTGTTAATTATAAGGAAACTTTTGCACCTGTTGCCCGTATAATCTCTGTTCGTAGCCTTTTAGCCATTGTTGTCGTTAAACAATGGCTTCTTCACTAGATAGATGTTAAAAATATCTTTCTAAATGGAGATCTAAAAGAAGAAGTGTATATGAAGCCTCTACCCAGGTATCAACATCCAAAAGACAAGGTATGTCCTCTTTGTCGAGCTCTATATGGGCTTAAGCAGGCTCCAAGTGTATGGTTTGCTAAGTTTAGTAACACTATGAGTCAACTAAATTTTTCTTGTAGTCCTTACAACTTGACTCTTTTTGTTCGCTTCACTGTTCATGATATTGTTATGTTGTTATTGTATGTTGGTGACATGATTATTACAGGCAGTGATAATAGAGGAGTTTAAGAGCTCAAGACATATTGGGCTAACAATTTAAAATGAAGGATCTTGACAAATTGAACTATTTTCTTGGGCTTGGTGTAACAGTCACTCCCCCCGAGCCCACTGCTATGAATGGAGGATTAGGCTATGCCACCTCACGGCAACCCTAGTTAGCTTTCTCCATGGTAGTACGTGGGATATTCCTTGCACCTACTGTGCTAAGGAAGCATCTCCATGTTCGATCCTCCAACCTCTCCTACTTAGTGAAGTTGAGGCTGAACCTGATAAAGGAGCCATTGATTTGACATCCCGAGCTCGCCTTTCTAATAAGGAGGTTGAAACTACATCTATTAAACCGAATGTTCACTATACTTCTACCGATGGCACCCTGTTGGATAATCCCACCCATTATCGCCAGCTAATTGGGGGCCTCATCTATCTTGTTATCACCCATCCTGACATTGCTTATGCAGTTCATGCTGTTAACCAGTTTATGCTTGAGCCTCCACAACTCATTATGCATCAATTCTTTGGATCATACTGAAGGTCAAAGTTGGGCTTTTCTTCCTTGACGAACTCCTATAGTTGCAAACACCAAGCGTACTTTAGAGATCGAAATTGCAACAATATGTGATGGAAGGATAACAGTGGGTTTGAATTTTAGCTATAAAATAATCCTACTTGACTCACTTTTCTAAAGACAATCACGAAAGCTCAGCTCATCACCTCCACTACTTGAAAATGGCTTCTCTTTTTTCGTTCTTTCCTTTTGATTCAATTAGGGTAAATAAGTAATTTTACTTATAGAATTATTCACACTAAAGGACCAAGGGACTATAAAATAATTTTTTTATTTCATGGCACTTGATTGTATTTAAATTTCTGCTGTGAGACCTTATTGCAATTTTTTCAATTTATTTCCATTCATTCATAATATATGAACTCACATAATGACTTTTGCCACGCTTGTTGCTGCTTCTTCGTTCGTCTTCCTCTCACACCCCTATCCTTACGTCTTCTTCCTTACCTCTCCATCATTATCTTTGTCTTCCTCCATCATCAATAGCGACGATAGCTTTGCACCCTCCCCTGCACCCATTCCATGGCTTCATCTAAACAAATCGAAAGCGCACACAACGTTTGAATTTAGACACATCCTCTGCACCCATTCCTAAATGAAAAGAAGTAAGAAAAAAATGCTACGAATTCAGACATAGCGTAGCAGCAACAGCAATGACCCAGTAAAAGGATAAAACCCGAATCAACATACCAAACCAACCTAAAAACAGCTCGAATGGTTCACAAGGAAAACGTTAACAAGATGTAAGCCCAATAAGAATCAATAGAGGAACCCAAAACTATCTTTTCAACAATCCGAGATCTTGAATCTTTCAACCTATGTAATTCGTTCCAAAATAACAAAACTTTAAACTCTCTCACGAGCATCAAGCGATGACGGAGGTGCGGAGACATTGAACGCCGTAGGGCAATTCAGGGAGATGATCTGATGAAGCTTGATTCCGCAGAAGCACAATATAATGTCACAGCTGGCGTTGGGCGAAGGAATCCGAATGTTGTGACTCAAAAGCGAGTTGGGGAGCGAGTTCATGCACCCCCTGTGAGTCGTCCAACATCATCGAAAGATCACCGCTAGTCGCAGCAGTCGGAGGCGAAATCTCCGAAGCCGACCGAGAGTGAGCTACGAAGAGCTAGGCCAGGGAAACCATTAATATGGAGAGGAAGCAAATGAGGAAGGCGAGAATGAACATAAATGATTGCATTGTTATTGTTATTATTTTAAACTTAAAGACGAATGTGCCGATGATAAGGGATGAGTTTTTGGGTTCGTATGGCAATGGAGAAACAACTAAAGGGATTGTAAGGGAAAAAGTAGGGAAAGACCGAAAAAGAGGACTTCTATGTTACCAGAGAGACAGGGAAGGAGAACAACATACGTGGAACCATTTGACCAACACATGTGGCATCTATGGGTCCATTTGACCAGATTAACACCATTACCTCAGTCCAGGGCAAGATTGTACGATTCTACAGAACATGAAGACGACTTTCCGCCTTTTAAAATATTAATATACCAACTGTGGTTTTTTTTTTTCCCCAAATCATCCATGACAAATTTCTATTTTAATCTTTTAAGTTTTAAGCCCTTATAATTTTTTGTAACTAATAATATGGTAGGAAATCTTTTTGCAGGTTTTTTATATCTATATTCTATAATCAAAGAAGATGAATACAAAAAAGAAATATCTTTGTAAGATTTTGAACTTCTTAGCCCAAAATAATTAATTGTTTTCCTTATTGAAGAACTTAATTTATTTAGCTTTACAGTGGTTGTTGAAAAATGGAGTAAAAAAAAATGCCTTGGTCAACTGAACTCTATATTTTAGGCTGGTTTGGAAAATATAAAATAAAAAAGGGACTCCGTTTTTGGTGGGGAAAAACCATTGAAACCAATTAGATGTTGGTATTAACAAATAAAATGAGGGAGTCTGTTTTACAGAAACATTTTTCTTATAAAAAAATTGGTATCTTAGTTGGATACATCTAATCCCCATGTGGCTTTGGATCACAAAGGGAAGGACGAGAAGAAGCAATGGCCATGGAAAAAGTCAAAACCACACCCAATAATTGCGCAATAACCAACCACATCAAAACTAACACCAACTTAAGAATATACTGAATTAGAAATGGTGAAATGGAAAGGGAAAATTTTCCATAGAGCAGAGAGAGAAAGGACAAGAGAGGCTGCAACAAAGCAATCTCTCTTTCTTGGATCTCTGAAACAACACAACACATAGACATTCAAATTCTGTCATCATAACAATCAATCTATCCCTTTCCTCTTACTCATCCTTCTCCTCCTCTTTTCTTCTTGTACCAGATTATTATTATTAGTTTTTTTTCCTCTGAATGCATGCCATGAGTCAACTTCGAGCTGTTTCAGCCCCAGAATTAATACCTCCTTCTTCGAGCAGCATTTCACAGCCAGGCGAAAATGGTGTTGGTTTAGAAGGTAATTAATCTAGGAACTCTCTTTTGTTAGATTCAATGGTTTTTTGTCAGACCCTGCATGTAATGATCCCTCATATTGTATTCAATCCTGAAAACCAATGAAACAATTTATTTAATTCAGAAGTACATCAAAGAGAGGAAGGATACAGTAGCTCTGTTATATTTATTGGGAGCAACTGGATAAACCAAACACAAGCATATTAGATTCAGTACATATCAATGCAAAATATAAAAATTTCTATTAACTTCTCTATTATTCTATAATTACTGTGTTACATATGTAAAAGATCAAATGTTTAATATATCTGCAAGAAACTGTTCACTGATCAAACATTCCATGTTCATATCGTTCTTTCTCAAGTTAGAGCCATAGTTAGTCATAACACTCGTTCATTTTCTGCCTTTAAGGCCCTGATGTAAATGTTTCTTATGGTTCCTTCGCCTTGTACGGTTTTCCTGAGTTAATGAAATTTCCCATTCACTCAAAAAAAAAAAAAACGTTTAATATATTTAGATATGACATAAAAAATTGCGAAACAAGATATTTTTATTATTTCATAAGTACTTAAAACTATCATCTTCACTATTCAAGTATTCATACGGATATATACCTGCTTTACTTTTTTTAATCACCAGCTCAATGCAGCAAAAGGCTAAGTCCTAAAGGGTATTACATCAACTATGCATATTTCAAAGATTTCAGAGGCGGATGCCCCCGGAGTGTAATATAGGTCCTCCCATGTTTATTGGTAGCAACTGGATAAACCAAGCACAAGCATATCGAACAAGTTATATTCATCTCTCTCTTATTTGTCATATAGGTGTTGCCACCAATGTCAAGCTGTTGCTGAAATTAATTCAAGATCACAGTGTGTGTAACTCAAAAGATAATTTAGAGAGAAAACATCATAGGGTGGCTGGAATGATTTCTATCATAGATGAAGTTAAGAACAGGATTCAGAAGATTCAAACAACTTCAAAGCGAAGAGCTGAACTCAGACGGTGCAACACCGATGTTAAGCCTAATATTCCAAGTCCAAGGGACAAGAAAGCCCCTGAACTCATAACAGATGAGAAAGAAAGACTAAGGAGAGAGCTTCATGCAAGCTTGATAGCAAGACAGAGCATTCAAGCCATATGTTCAAGTTTGGGAAAAGAGAAACAAATCATGGCATCAGAACTTGCAAGGAAGGCTCAAGAATTGTCGGAAATGGAGGACTATATTATTGATCTAAAAGATCAGAACCACATGTTAATGGAGAAGTTGCGCTCCTGCAGCTTAGAACACAAGGAGAGGAGTAGTGAAAAGGAAATTCAAGGCAACATGGCACTGCAAGAGAGAAACAAGGAACTCAAAGAGCAACTCATAAGGTTAAATGATTATTTTCAATCTCTGAGGAAAAAATTCCAAGCAACAGAAGAGGAGAACACGCAGATTCTCGATACAATGGAGGAAATGGAGGTGGAAGTTCAAGCAGGCATTAACAAGATGCATGGCTTCAAGGAAAAATTGGCAACAAATGGAGAAGACAAACTCAATGTCAAAGAGGAAATTTCAGCTTTAGAGCACATGCTTAAATCTCTCAGCTTGAAAATTTCAAAACATAGGCAAAAGCAAACTTGGGACCATTAATACAAAAACTCAACATGTACTAGGTAGAGGCGGAGATAAGAGGTGAGCTTGAAATCATTATTCACTCTTCGCCTTCCTCGTTACTCATCTTCAGTTCTAGAAAGCATGCTTAGATCTTGAAAAGAAAAAGGAGCCATGGATTAAATAGTTTGCCTCTAATAATAGTTCGTATTATGAGGGTGAGGAGATGAGTCAAAGTAGAGGAGATTAGTAGCCTTGCACATATTCCTAAAACTTCAGCTTTTTGTGTGTCCAATGGCACAAGAGTTGTGTATTCCGGATCGTTTCCTTTCCTTTGAACTCTGCCCGCAGACCCAAACCCAAGCTTTGTTCAATTCATGTTTCACCAGGAAAAGAAAATTCGAGGACCTCATGTGGTAGTTTAATCATGTAATTGATAATTGCAAAGCTATGTATGTAATAACTATCAATGATGTATATCTCCATATGCTTTTGTTACAAGTATTATACATCTCCCCGCAATTAATTTTATAACTGCTTGCAATTGACTTCACCATTTTTGAACATCTCATTACAGCGGACATATAAGAACATGAATAGGCTATGAATTCTTCCCATGATGCAACAATCACTGCCAAATTCTCACCTTCCCCCAAAACTCATACAAACATCAAATTTCAAAATGTGTTTTTACAAATTCAAATGTTATTTTTATCCATGTTTAAACTTTAAACAGAGATAAAGATTAAAAAAGGAAAGATAGGATGGGATAGGGATATATACATGAATCAGAGATGAATCAGAGATTTGGAAGTATATTTTACTGAACAAGGCTTTGCAACTTGCAGGCTGCAATAGAGTTTAAAATCCATGTATTACTCGCTGCTTTTGAACCAGTTGAACTTGCCAAAGCCTCTGCATCATTTCGCCTTTGACTGAGAATTGTTTCCCTTTTTAAGAGATCAAATTTATCAGGAAGTTCAAGGCTGTAAATGATGAAGGTTTTGGAAGGATGCCTATCAGGTGATAATGCTTTTTGGTCACCACGTATTGGTTTTCTTTGCAGAAAGATCCCTCCAGCAGCAGTGACGAGGTCCTGTAGATAGCCCCTATATGATGGCATAAAATCACCCATAAAATAGAACTTGTAACCATCGAAAAGCTTTGGTTGCTGCATGGGTAGAAACAAAAGGTAGCACTTGTTAGCACACAAGTAAGCATTTAGTATTCGTTTAATAAATCCATATTGTCATACCTATACCTAGGTTTTCATCATTCACTCTTCAGTTATAACTTGATAGACTGAAGTCTATATTAACTCGTATATACCAATTACCAAACCTTCAAATATATAAAACATATCCATAGAATAATCCTCAAGTCTTGACACATCCAGAACAAAATTACGATGTGCTCGTGTAGAATTTAAATGAGGTATAAAATGGAGTAAAATTTCACAGGCATCCGGACATGGTATAAAGTACATATACATCGCTCATGTTCATTCCTCCAAATTCTATCTATCCACAACATTCTCATTCCCTACAGTCTCAAGACAAACTGAACTTTGAAGGTAGCGATTGGTTCTGGTTTGCAGATACTATGAGATGGGACTTCAAAACTTTTTGTCAACGTTCGATTCTTATTTTTAAGAATATTCAGCTTCTTGATCAGGCTAGAGACCATTAAAAAAAAAATTGTTTACTTTCGCAAAATTTTCCTTTAGACTTTCCTTTTGTCAATTAAATTCCTTCTCTGTTTTTTTTCCCTCAAATATTACCAGAACACAAGGAAAACCAACCTTATCCAATACTCTCAGTCGTCCAAGACGAGGGCCATCCCTGACTCCATGGATGTCAGCAGTAATTTCATAACGCTTCTCATCAACAGGTTCCATTGCTTGCATGGATGCTTTAATCCCTGTTTAGCACCCCAAATACACCCGCGCCGCGGCCAAACAAAAAAATAAGTATGACAAATCAAGAAAAAAGAAGACAAAACTATAGTCATTTACTATGATAAAAAAGAATATAAATAACATAAATTTCAGAAAAGATTAGAACTTGCATTCCACATTGAGAATCCACTTTCCCTCGAGGATACCCATCAGCACTTTGAGGGTCCTTTTGCATGCCCCATTTTCATTTGTTGATGCTATAACATGGGTCACACTTGCATCCCACTTTTTCAAAACTGTAACCTTGGTAACTCTTTCAAATTCAGAAACAATATCCTACAGATTTTAACCATAGTAAGAAAGATAGAAATTAGATTTATTGAAAAAGAAAGTAGCAATGGGATTCCATAAACAAAGATAATACCGTCTCTAGTCCAGATAAAGCTGAACAACAGAGAACAATTTTCTTTTGTGACCAGCGACCATTCAGATTTTGAACACCAGGGTCATGCTTGCCAGCAGTGCTGTTATTGCGTTGATCTTCTCGTCTGACAAAAGGGTAAACAGAATGAAATGAAAGTATGTTAAATAATAAGTGACGATTTTTTGGATAATCAAGAGGATATCCCGGTATTGGCTTACTCTCTAGCCGTGCATTTGTCGCTTCTGTTTTGACTTCCTGTACTTTCACAAGGCAACTTCAAAGAAGCGTGGAGAGGACAGAGCATAACAAAGTTATCCTGAATCAGCATGGTAAAAGGATTGAATTAGACAACTTCCTAGTTAAGTGGGATGCAATGATAGGTGCAATTTGATTTTTACTACATACCATATCCCATCGACACTGAGAAGTCCATTTGGCACAAGCAACATGAAAGCTCCTGCGACAACTTTTTTCAAAACAGCCTAATGCCGCCCCCTTAAGTCCACAGAAGCTACATTTAATTCTTCGACTTCTACTTATTTCAGCCTCAAGATTAATTGCGATATCATCTTCAAAATATACATTGGGGGCCCTGTGCAAGTATAAAACAGTTCAACTGCAGTGAACATATTAAATTCACAAGTCTGACTTCAAACTAGAACTAATTAAACCTAGTAAACGGTAACAAACATAAAAGAGGATTTTCTTTCTTCTTAGTTTTCAAGAAGAAAGATTAATCGCAGTATCACTTATTAGTATGATATTATGAAGTGGAGAGATACAATGCTTTTCAGAATAAGCACAAGCACAAAACCAATTCAACTGTACTCCATGCTAAATTAATGACACAAGGTACCGTTGCAAAATCAACCACTTTACTGGAGTAAAAGTCCTTACCATTCAGTGCAATTCCTGTGAGAATGTATGACTTTCGATCCTCCTTCATGATCTGCAGCAACAGACTTGCCCTTATAGTAATGCACCATCTGGCCAGAAGCCTGTATTTTGGTTTAAAGACACTAAACTTCAGTTAATGTATAATGATATCTAGCTAGCATCAACAGAGAGTAGGAAAGTGGCCCCAGGGTGAACAATTATATGGACTTATAGCCAATAAACAAACAAGCATTGTTACCTCGGATTCTTCTGATGAGAGACAGAAAGCGCATTGGAACTTCTTAATATGGGTCCCACATTTCCGTAAAACTACTTCATCAGTCCGAGGACGTTGTTTCTCTTTTAATGATTCGCTCAAAGCCCCACTTTCAGGGTGTTGATGAATCCTCTTAGGAGGCTGGGTTTCTTCACCATGTGCCTGCTGGGAGATGCAAGCAGATGAAACTTTTAACCTTTTATTATTTCTCAATTCTCTGTTGTAGGACTCGGATTTTCTGACGGAACTAGTTTCTTTTTGCCTCATATTGGAGGACTTCCCATTATTATCCATCTGGAGACTTGAATTGGATGATGGACAACCAGCATACTCATTGTTATGGTGTTGCATTGAAGATGAGTCTTCAACTTTTTTTTGGAAATTATCCAACCTTTGTTTCCCAGACCTTTTCCTCTGGCTTTTCTTGCAATTTTTCAGATTAGAATCCTTCAAATGTTCTTGTTTACCAGGTGAATCATTTACCATCTTTGTTCCCCAATTACCAATAATCCCAGATATATCAGAAAGTGCTTGAGCAGTTTGAGGTGTTTCCTTTGAAGATGTATCACAACAAACCTTCTTACCTCTTTTATTTGTTTTCCCCAGGTGTGAAGAATTGTGTTTATTGTCCCATATTTGCTCGTGACTGGCTTTTGATAATCTCTCTGGAATGAGGTCAGTCCCTTCAATTGAGACTCCATGTTTTTCAGTCTGCACTTTCCAAGGGTTTTCTGTTGCCTTCCTGCCTCTCTTTTTGGCATTCTTTCGAGAAGAAGCCACTCCAGGCACCATCATGTTCAAAGCATTTCCTTGTTCTAAATTCTCAAATTTTGTATTCTCAGCACTTAATGGATTTGCTTCAAGGTCCAGGGAGTCTGCTACATAACCCTTCGCTTGATTTTCATCAACCTCTCCAGTATCTTCAACCTGAAAATAACAAGCAATTAATAGACAGATTAGTAGATAAGATTCAAACTCATGTTTGAGGAAACTATGGCTATCGGTCATCCACTACCTGCACCCTGAAGGGACTTGAGCATAATTCAGGGGAACAAGGCCTTTGTGTCCATTCAAACATTTCACTATCAAATAAATCGACGAAGGTTTTATCTTGTGCATCATCCTACAAGGTAATAACAAGAATTAATATCATAGTATAATTCAGACTCGAGTTGTAGCTAAAGCTTACCTATTCAACCTGTTTCAGTTTCTAATTAGCCAAATAGAAGAGTTCAGTGGGAGAAATGCATAATGAACAATTAAGCTGATTTTTCAAGTTGATTGATTTCTGAAAGGTTTTCTTTCATTAGTTGTCAATAATCAGGTAGCCAAAGAATGAAGTCAATCAACTAATCGAGTTATTCAGAACACACATCAGAGCTAAATTTCACCGTTTTCTCATCAGATATATAACCGTAAGAAACTGCTACTCTAATTAACAAACTGTCAAGGAATTGTTTGCTTAGAAAGTTATAACAGTACATGATGTAAACTTACTGATGGAGCCCCTTCAGAAGGGTTTTCATCATCAGAGTCCTTGAGATCACTGAATGACGGTAAATTTGGTGTTGGTGTATCACTCAGTTTATCCCCAACGGTGCCCTGACTTGACTTTTCTCCATCTTTTTCATCTCTTAACCAAAAGAAGGGTGAAAGAGCTATTTCTTCTTTCTCATTTTTGATAGGCCTCCCATTTGACGTGGCCAAACCCTCTTTTCTTCCCTCTTTGACAACTTCATTTGGAGAAGGCCTAAGCCCTGCATTCTTAAATGGAGTTTTTGAAAGAGGACTTTGTGGAACCTGAATCCTTTTCTTTGTCGGAAAGGTAGGTTTTACAGAGTCAGCACCAGAATTCTTGCTGGCCTCGATCTCTTTCCTTGATCCCTTCCTTTTGCGGGTCTCTTTTGCCTCTGGATGATTTTGATGAGTATCACCAGCAACCTTCACCCTACAATTGGCATCACCATCACATTGCTTTTCTCCATCTGCAAGATCGTGTAGGTACAATACGGCATAAGCCATATAACATTAAAGCCCAAACCCAATGCATGATTGGAAGACCACTGTATATGCAGCTTTACATGCAACTACAACAAACCTTATCCCACTAAGTGAGATTGATTACATGGATTATATGACACTATTGTACTCTATCATCTATTAAGCTTTTAGAAATATTGTTAGTTAAAAAATCTCGTTCAACAATCTTTAAAAGTATTCTCTTCAATCTTCCTCTATCTTTCTTGATAAGGATCAAAACCATCTAATTCATGCAGCTTTACATGCAAGGGAACAAAAAAGCAGCAATGTGCCGACAGATGATAAACGAAAAGTATATTTGGCATGTAATTATCACCACCAAATTTTTGCCTGCAGCTACAAGACTGTAATAGCATATATGATAAGCTCTAACTGAGGGATAATAATAAAATTCAAATTTTTGCCAGTCCATAACTGGGCTTTTTTCTAGGAGAAAATAACGGACACAGGTGCAACTCTTTTTTTTCGTAGTCCGACTATTTGCCCTTTATAATGAGGACGTAAACAAGAAGAAAATAAAACTCAACATTTGCTAGTTGAGAAATATGCAAGGACAGGATCAGGAAGGATTCTTGTAAGCAAACAACCTGGACTATCCATTATCAGAATCGTTTTCTAAATATTGCGATCATCAAAAGTGAAAACAAGAAGAAGAAGCAAAAGTACCTGACAATTTAGCAACAGGAACGTTCTGAGTGACAAATATATTTACTCCCGAAGAAACTTCCATGCTTCTGTAGATACTTACCAAGTTATCCATATGAGGAGAAGCGCGAATCTCTTCACACAGAAATATATTGTCCGTGATTAAGCAAGTAATTACTAAAATCCAAGAAACAGCAGCATAAAATGAGGACGTAAAATTTGGTAGAGATGCCTTCTTTACTTTGAAATTATATATAGATATTTGACAGCATCCAAAACCAAGTTGAGATACCTCAACAAAATGAGAGATTGAAAAATATTTCACATAAAAAAAAAATAGAAAGTTATTTTTGAGTGAAATATAATCTTTCACCTTCTTTGAAGGGAAAAAATCATTTCATACAAAATTCATAAAAACAGATGTCTGTGACAGAATTTACAGTTTACACAAGTCAACCAGAAGTTTCAAGCAATAACAGGCTATTTTTTCATCAATAACATTTAAAGAAAGTGCAAGGTGCGCAAAGTTATACAATGCAGATATAAAATTAGCCGTTCAAGGCAATCAAGCAAACACAGTCGTGCACATATCAAGTGGACTACTTTTCAAAGACTAAGATTTTAGACTCAAGCTAAGAACGTTTAGATGTGATTATCTAGTTGTAAAAAAGACCAAGATTTTAAATGGTAAATCATTGTGAAAAAATAATACCCTAAACCACAAGCCTTAAATGTTATAAAAATGTTGTGTATCTCCTTTATCAGGCTGATAATTTATACTCCAATTGGCACATGGTCCCCTGCAATTGAACTGAAATTACTGAGGGCCTTAAGGAATGTTTAGACCAAATCTTAGCATCTCAGTAACCAATCTTCTTACAGCACTTAGCTTTGTGCAGTAAAATAACCACTGTCAAATATTGAGTACCATAATCTTCCTTGTACTTTAACAGAAGATATTAGTTTTTGAAATGAGTAAAACAAAAATAATAAGCAAGAGAACAAGAATCTTCGGTCAAATACACAAAAATACCAACAAGGAAGGAAAATGAACGTTCCAGACCAAAAGAAAACAAGGAATCAAATTGTAGCCTTTAAAAATTCTGTTCTTGACTCGAATATACAAGCAAGAAACATCAAAAAGGAAAGAACATATCCTTAAACATGTTAGGAATATATTTGCCAGGCCAGTTTTTATTGATTATTCACAAGAAAATTATTCGCAAGTTTGCAACTATTAAGAACCACTTAAGTTGAGTGAATATTGGTCACGCAATCAACAATTCTTCAAGGAATAATATATCATTCAAGAATATTAACTTACTTTTTCATTCAATGCAAGTCTGCAACTTATTATCTCCATATAAAATTATGAAACTTACCTCTGCGATGGAAGGGCACTTTACACACAGGGCAACTAGAACCTGATTTCATTGATTTCACAATACATGAGCTGAAACCAAGGGAAAATTTTGCTTTTAGCATCCTCAATTAATGAGGCTTATGTGAAGCAAGAGAAGAACCACCATTTATAAAATCGATAAAGCAACTTACTTGCAGAATACATGATTGCATGTAAGAGAAACTGCAGAATTCAGTAAACTCCAACTGCATATTCATTGCAACGCGTACAAAATCAGCCAATTGTATCCCAAGCAAGTTGTTTCAAATTTCAACCCGTTTGAAATTTAGAGCAAATATGATTCTTATTCTTTCTTTAAATAGTAAAAGTTTGTACAGAAGCAACGACCATAGTTAGCCTCATACCACACTACATCATTATCGCCCTTGCAGGCTCCAGCTATACTAAAGGGAACAAGAAAATGCGTTCGTAATTCATTCCAAAAGTATCGCTGATAAAAAGTACTATTACGAAAACATGGGTTTAAAGTTCTATTTAGCAGACATTGAACTGAGAACAATAATAACGAGATGGCTTTCATAACAATAAAAAATGTATCTGCAATCAATTTAAGTTTCGGCTGTCCGTTGGTTAAGCAAAATATGACAACAGCTAATCGGGTAGAGCATATCAATTCCTTTTTTTTTTCCGTGGGATAACCCAGAAAACAAAAAAAGAAAGAAAGAAAGAGCCCGTGGGGGTGGGTAAAAAACAAAGCTGAAACGTAAATGAATAAAGGAATCGGCTACCCATTTCCTGCAAGATATCAAAGCTGAGAGCAAGATGGATCACGCACAAAATTGCAGATGAACAGAACAGAAGAAATGATAAAGAATCACATACCAAATGGGACACTTGAGTTCTCTGCCCATCTGCTCGAGATGAGTCGGATCACCCATTATGGATCAAAAAGCGAGAGACAGTAACGGAGAATGAAGATGAAGAACGATGAAAGCGAAAGCGAGTGATTGAATTAGAAGCTCAACGAGAGAGACGATAGATGCTCGAACTGGATGCCAAAAGCGGGAGGCACACCAGAGATTTAGGATTCAAATTTCGATCTGATTTTAAACTTCAACAAGCGCGCGTTCGGTTATCTCGCGCCAATTCGTTTTGTTAGTCATGGCTGGCGCGTAGCTCAATCTTTTTGTTTTTGACTTTTTTTTTTTGGTAAGATGTTTTTGACTTTTTGAGGCGTCACTTTCTTTCTTTCTCTTGGATCGTTCCTGTTCGGACCTCCAAGTCCTGTGAGAATAAATATAATATATAATAAAAAAATAATTATTTAATTCTTATAATTTTAATTTAATAATAACTTACCCTTCTGTTTAAAAATATAAAATATTTTTAATTAAATTTTATTTTTTAATAAAATAATTACTTATTTTTTAATTAAATTTATTTTTTTATATTTATTTTTATTAAACATTTTATAATAAATATAAAATCATTATTAATAGGAACATTTAAAAAAAAGATAATAATTACATCTTAAAAAATTAAAAATACTTTACATTTTTTAACATTCAAAACTTAAAAAAATGCCTTATATTTTTGAATGGAGGGAGTAATTTTTAAACTTTGATTTATTGTAACTCAATTTTTATAATTTTGATTTGATTATAACTTAATCCTTGAATTGTGACTCAATATAACTTAGTCCCTACATTTTTTGTAATTTAAAATATTGGTCCTTATATGTTTTAAAAAATTAAAGTTTTAGTGACTTAAAATATTAATTCTTGTATTCTTAAAAAATTAGTATTTATAATTTTATTTCTTAAAATATAGCGACTAGTATTTTAAATAGTTAAAATTATAGAGACCGGGTTGTACCCGATCAAAATTTAAAAACTGAATTATAACTGAGTCAAAATTATAAAAATTGAGTTATAATAAATTAAAACATAAAATTAAATTACAATTAAATCAAAACAATAGAAATTAAATGATTAATTTTTCCTATACAATGTAACAATAAAAAGAGGATGTAAAATTAAACAAAATTTAGATGAGTTAGATCTCATAAATTCTCCAAAGGCCATAGTCCTCAGCCAAGTCAATAATGGAATGTAATCCTGCAACTTTGTAGATTATGTAAAATATAATTACCAATTGAACCAACCTTTTATTTATTTTTTCCATCTTAATTTAATAATATACACAAACACACATATATTAATTAAAATGATAGATGTTATTTTTTTATTCTATATTATTTTGTTTAAAATTTAAAAATTCATTTTTATGATTATGATGAAACAATTATTTTTATTTTAAACATATATTATTTAAAATATATCAATTTATTCATAATCGGTTAAACCATAATTCAAATTATGATTCAACTGTTAAACCGTAAACCTATATCTCAATCACATTTGGCTTTCTTAACATTGTTCTTTATAGTTTATATACTGTTTGTATATATTATTGTGTGCGTAATTTTTTTTTTTTTTTACCATGTCATAGTCGTCGTATTCTTTCACCACAAATGAGAGGGCAAGTAAAAATAAATTAACAAAATTTACATAATAAAAGAAGGGGAAAAAAAAAAACAGAGAGGACATGTGCGCAGCCGCACACTCAATTCAGAGCAATGGTGAGCTTAGAAATTCTACCAAGCGAAGTTGAAGGGCAAGTGAACAGTACAAATGATGCAGAAAAACAACAATACTGTTGATACCTGCCTCAGTATGCTTGTAACAAATATCACTGCATCAGTCTCCACAGGGCTTCTTATATGTAAATGAGGAAGACTCAAAAATTCTCCATCTATCCGATGATCATGTTGAGCCAGGAAGATGAGATTTAGAGCCTCTACCTAGGTAGTAAGATGACTTCTCTTTACTGCTGCTCGACCATAGAATTAAATCGTGCAATATTCCCGTAAGTTTAACCAAGTTAGAATAAAACCTAGTTTTTTTCATCGTTCGCAAATATTTTTATATTAAAAGTAATATTGTTCTAGATACAATCAAATACCAAATATAAACACATCTTTCAACAAAAATTCTTAATTCTCCACATTATAAAAAATTAGCTCAATTTATTAGACTTAATGGTAAATAAAACCACATTCTTTTGACAAAGGCAACTAAACTATTTTTCGATAATGTTATAAATTAGGTTGTCACAAATGGCCTCTACTTATTGGTAAACCATCTCTATCAAACCTAACCTGTTTCCAGAGGGATCCATTCAATACCCTTTTGAACCAACCAAGTGATCTTTTCACAGCTTCACATTTAAGGTCTTTGACTACTTCAGAGTACTAAGAAAAACTACATTCCTATTTAAATTGTTCTTATCTAAACAGATCTCGATACACATCACTTTCACTTAAACAGACTGAATCACTTAGCACAATCGCTTCCCTGAACAGGTAGCCTCACCTTGGATTCAGATGAGTTCATGGGTTGGCCACTGTACATATCAACTGTGAATTCAAGTAGGAACTTCGATAAATCATAAATATCACAAAAGATGGATGATCCGCCTTATATATATGCAATTATATATATATATATATATATATATTTTGCATTTGATTACATATGAAAACGCCAGTTTTCAATATAGATCAAGACTGATGATGGATAGAGCTGGTGCTATCCATTAAATGAGTAGGTTCTGCATAATTTTAAGGTTGTATGTGAATGTAAGTTACAATTAGAAATTTTAACCTAGTGTTAAAATTGTTATTCTCCTCTATTGAGCCTCATAAAAGATCACGGAGGAAAGATCTAATATAATGTTCATTTAAATTTGCCAATGTCAATGCAAAACTTTAGAGAACCATAAAATCATTGTCATCTCCAAAACCAAAAATAAATAAATAAATGACGTCCTGGACATTGGGAGTGTTCAGCTATTATAGCACTCTAACAAACAAGATTTACACAGTTGCACAGAAATTTTACCCAATCATCTGCATTAGATAGAAAATTAGACAAGTCTTAGTTATTATGTTTCAGAATATGTAATAAAAGGAACATTCATTGATAGAATAAAATGAGAGGAGTAGGACAGAGTGGGACATTTTATTATTTGGAAGTTTTATTAGAGTAATGAATGATTTTATCTAATCACTACTTAAGAAATTATTATTGATGAAGATGTTGCACGTAGGGTACAAGTTGAATGGTATAATTAAAAAAAAAGTTAAAGAAGTTATTCGTGAATTGTAATAGAAAGATATTTAATAAATTTAAAGGAAGGTTTTATCAAACTAATATAAGACCAACCATATTATATAGCAATAAATGTTAAGCTTTAAAGGGACAATAAAAACATAAACTTTGAGTTGCAGTGATAAAAATATTGAGATTGATGGGTGGACATACACAAAAAGATAAAATACAAAATAAGCATACACAAAAAAAAGTAGGCATGACACTTATTGCAGAGAAAATGTAAAAAATCGTTTGAGATAATTTGAATACATTCAGATAAAACCATGAGAAATACTAGTAAGGAGAGTAGAATGGATAGCCTTGGAGAGAGGTAAAGAAAGACTAAAGAGAATACTAATATAGTTATTGAACGGGACCTCTTAATTAACAATATTTCTAAAAGTTTGATTAATTATAAAATAACATCATGCAATCCATATAATCAATCTAACCTATTGAGATAAAGCTTATTATTGTTATTCTTGTTATGTTGTTGTTAAGAAGTTATTATAAAATTATTATATTTGAATTAAATATAATTATGTTTTTCAGCTTTAGGGTGAGAGGGAGTGAAAGAGTGAGAGGGATAAGAAGGATGAGAGTAATTTTGTGATAACATTATTTATATCATGTCATTCCAATTCCATTGAAAAAATGAGTTTAGAATGGCTTAGAAGGTCATCCAAGCCATTCTACTCCCTTTTAGAAACCCTTTCAAAAATATGGTATAAAACTTTTACCCATCCCACTCCATTCTACCCCACCCCAAAACAAAACTCCCAAACACTACCTAATAAAAAAATATTAATAAAAGAAAAACTCTTTACCAAGTAAATGGGAACATATTATTGAATCAGAATCATCGGGTATATGGTCAGAGGTAGACCAAATATAGAAAAAGAAATTTCACAATTTCTCATAAACAATTCCAACGCAAAAGGAAAACCTCAAAACCAACAGAGCTCTTAGCACAAGACAGCCAATAAATGGCGTTGCCAAGTCTCCATATTTCCATATATTACCAATAATCCTTACAGGAACATGAACCACCACCGAAATGGTGGAAGCGACTATTATCCCTGATAACAATCTCTCTATTATAAACCTTTGATATGAGTTTAATAGCCATATGACAATCTGCACAAACTCTCAAATTCTTGAGAACCCTTATTGGGGTCCCTGGCGTTGTATTTAAGAGCATAAAAGCAATTGCAACCTTTTCACTATGATAAGACAAAGCTTGTTCTTTCTCCTCTTCTTCTATGTCAGCCAGAACATTTGCAGTGTGAGGTACATACCCTTCTGACTTCAACAATTCCGTGATCTTCTCTAGAAGCTCATATACAACCTCACTTTGAGGATGAGATCTATCGCCCATGGTAAATTCATAGACACGATTTCCCAACTCAACTAGGCTAAAGCCTGGGTTTTTCTTAACACCATCATTCAACATTGACCTCCTCACCATCTGAACATCTGACCAACGACGTTCAGAGGCATAAAGATTGGAAAGGAGAACATAATCCCCACTATGATTTGGCTCTAACTCTGAAAGGTGAGATCTTGCTATTTTTGCTAGATCCAAGTGTCCATGTATTGTGCACGCCCCTAATAGCATCCTCCAAATAACTGCATTAGTCTGTAATGGCATATTTTGAATATACTCATAGGCTTGTTTCACCAAACCTGCCCTGGCCAACAGGTCTACCATGCAACCATAGTGCTCTATCCTTGGCTCAATACCATATTCCTGCTTCATCCTTTCAAAGTAATTGAATCCTTCATCTAACATACCGCAATGACTGCAAGCATACAAGACACCAACAAAAGTTATCTCACTAGGCTTTAGCCCTTGTCTTTCCAGCTCTTTGAAAAGTACAATTGCTTCCTCACCAAATCCATTAACAGCTAAACCAACTATCAAAGATGTCCAAGAAACCACATTCTTTTCACACATCTCATTGAACACTTTCTGGGCCTCTCTAATGCTCCCGCATTTTGCATAAAGGTCCAATAAGGCATTAGTAGCATGCAAATTCTCCAGAAAACCAACCTTCCACATGTATACATGGACCCTCCGACCTAACTCTAAAGCTCCTATCTCAGCACAAACAGACAACAAGCTAACCATAGTGAACCCATCTGGCTCCACACCTTCCAAACTCATTTCTCTGAACAGAGTCAGAGCCTCATTGGGCCTTCCATTGAGAGCAAAACCATTTATCGCAGAATTCCAAGCCACAAGATCCCTCTCCGACATTAACTCAAACATCTGGTGTGCACTCTCTGTTTCCCCGCAAGCAGCATACATATGAAGCAAAGTGTTCTGGACAAAAAGCAACGTCTGAAAACCATTTCTGATAGTAACAGCATGTATTATTTCACCCTCCCTAAAATTGGCCGACTTAGAAACAGCCTTAAGAAGATAAGGGTAAGTGTGGGTGTCAGGTTCAACAGAAGAAACATGCAACTCTCGGTACAAATGAATTGCAGGCCTTGGGTTTTCACTTTCAGCATAGCCTCTAATCATGGTGTTCCAAGTAAATATATTCGGATTTTGGATTTGGGAAAAAATACGAGAAGCATAGGACATGGATACAGAAAGGGACACACTTGTGAAGATAAGATGTTTGCCCATTTCAGGGTCTTTGATTGAGACACCATGCCTAATGGAAAATGCATGGATCTGCCTCAATTTATAATTCGAAGAGGCACATAGTTGCAAAAGAGTAATGCATTTCTTGAGAACATTTAGTACGGTGTTTTCGGGGAAAGTTGATAAAGAGCTTGAAAAGAAGCATGAGTAGTTTCTGGCATTGTAAGTTAACAAGAAGGAAAACTTGGGGTGCATTCGATATATAAACTAGTATTTGTATGATAAAAAGGTTTAAAGGGAATTTCTACACTGAATTGAAGATTAAATTACAGTGATAATCACAGTAAGATAGCAAGTGAAGACGCTGAAGGGAATCACCTAGAGCTCGAAACCAGAAATCACCTAGAAATCGAAGGGGTTCTGCCGTCGACAGAGAAGGGAAATCGTCACTGTCACTGTAGGAGGTCGTTGTCGTCGTAGCTGTCATGAGGTTGAAATCAATGAGGAGGTTGCCGTCGCTGTCACTAGAGGAAGGAAGAAGTGGGATCGAAGATGTGAGGCTGAAGACGATGGATTGATGTCACCGTCATCCTCGTCAGCTCGCCGTCTCTTCCTCGCCGTCGCACCGGCCACAGGGATCATTGGGGAAGAAAATGACGAGAGGGCCGTGGGCTGTTCGGGTGAGAAGGTGGGGCACAATCGCCCAAGGGCTTGGTGAGAGGGCAAAAATCAGCTAAGGGACATGGAAATTGAATTCTTTGGTTTGGAGGATGAATTCCTCCAATTTTGGGCGGAATGGAAATGGAAATCCATGAGATTCATGCTACCAATCGGGCAATTTTCTTGAATTTTAGCTGGGTTAAATAGTTCCTTAGTGATTAACAAATGAAATTTTTTTATGGGATATTTCTACTATATTTTATCCGTCTCAATTTATCATATATTTTTAGATAAAATTATGCATTACCAATAAAATCTGTTAAATATACTTGTGATTTTATTTTTTTAAAACAAAATTTTAAATTTTTAAAAATAGCCTTAATTTAATACATTTTCTTCATTTAAAAAAATATAAAATATTTTTAATCGAACCCACCTCCAATGAAATAATTGCATATTTTTAAATTAATATTATCTTTTCATATTTACCCCTATATATTAGGATGTTTTATTTTAAAATAAATATAAAATTATTATTTAATATATATTTATAAAAAAAACAATGATTATACTTTAAAATATTAAAAATATTTTATATTTTTTAACAAAAGAAGTAATCTTATACGTGAAACATTAAATAGATGAAGGGTAATTGGAACAAATGAAATCTTATTTTTATTAAAGTATACTATTATATTTTATGGCCCTTATTTGAAATTTTTGAATCATTTTCTATAATTTTTTTATTTTTTAATCAATTAATAATTAAAATTATTTTTCAATTATGGTAAGGATTATATTATATTGTTTTCAAAAATTGGGAGGAAGCATTGTTAAAAAATAAATAAATTTAAGGTCTCAAATGTGCTCAAATTTATAATTTAAGAGGTTAAATTACCCTTTAATTATTTATTATTGCATGCTGATATATGAAAAAATATTTTAAAAAGGAAATGACAAACAAATGCATTTGCATTCTGCAATCACGTCCTTTGTTGAAGGCCGAAGTGGCGCAGGTACCACTTGTTACTATTTGAACTGTTGAAGCAAGTAGGCGTTTGTTTCACTTTAGTGGTTTCTAACACAAAATTTGCCCTTTAAATAAATCCAATGAAATTAAAATGCTTATATAAATGCGTGATTGTTTGTGAATTGTGCAAAAAGATAAAATTGAAAACATCTTCAAAATAATTGAATCCAAATATAATGAAGATAATAAAATTCAATTATAATAATCATTTCTAAACCATCAGTTAATATAACCATAAAATGCAAGTTAACGATTGATAAAAGAATTCTCCCAGACACGTTCCTCGAAAATTGGAAAATATAAAGTTACAATTACAATAAACTCACGCTAAGCTGAGCTGTTTTATTCCAACCACTCAAATAGAAAATACATGAAGAATATACATTTCATATGCCCCAATATAGAAAACGATGTAGCGAACTCCAAAGCTAGAATGATAAAACAAATTTAACAACAAAAATGGACATATTCACATGTTGATCAGCTGCCACTGAGACTGTATTTTGAAGCAGACAGTAAATTTATATGCTTGTTTATGCGCTGTTGAGCCACGTACACGTGAAACAAGCAAAGAGAGAGAGAAATGGCAGAGAAAGATCAATCAAATAATTCCCATTGGGTGGTGGTGGACGGAGGAGGATCAAAGGTCTCCCACTTGGTTGTTACAACAATAGGCTTTATTCGTGCATTAGATATCTTCAGTACATCAAGAGCTTCTACACATTTCTGTACTCTTTTGCCCTGAAAATTGCAACCATCGGATTTAGCCTTCCAGTTTCATTTAATATTCCCCACCGTCGTAATAAGGTTAAGAGAACTGATGGATCTAGCCCTACATAAGCGCACCTTTTTTACTTTAAAAAAACACTCCTTTATCCAATTTGATAAAAATAAAGTTTTATTAAATACATTTTTTTAATATTACATTTCCCTTCTTGTTATATTCTTAGATTATTAAATGAAAAATATTTTAAAAAATTTATATTATTATTTTAAAAAAATAAAATTATAAAGTGTATTTAATGAATTTTATTGACATATATAATTTTATCTAAAACTATCTTATAAACTAGGATGAAATGAGTGATAAAGAAAGTGATCATTGATGATAAAGTTGAGGGTTGAATATGTAAGCTGTTATCAGTTAGTTTATCCAAATCTTACAAGAAAATCATCATATATTTATCTGCACTTCATTATTTGCATTTTGAACGACCCAAATCCTGCAGTGAAGTTTTATTTCCTTGACTTTTCTTTTCTTTTCTTTTTCAAATGCATATGACTAAACAGTATTTTCCCACAGGTAACATTAAATTACATGCAACTATAAACTCTACATGGCTTTAGGGGTTATTTGGACATATAAACTATACATACACTTAAATGGAAAAACAAGAATACACACACACACACACACACATTATGCACCGGCTGAACCAATGGAGATAAAGGTGAGAATGTGGAGCCAATAGCCATTATGAAGGTTAACTTGGTTATTATATCTGTGAGGGCAAAAAGGTTTGAACTTAAAGGCTTTGTTAGAGTATATTACTTAACTGCACCATAAATAGTAACTCATCCAATAATCGGTTTTACTAAAAAGGCTTAGGAAACTTCAAGTAAGATTTGAGAATTTGAGGTTGTTATTACCTGCAAGTTTTTCTGTGCAGAAGCATCTCCTTCTGCTTGAATGCTTTCTAATTTAATTGCGTGTCTCATAAGCATCTCAATTAGTGTTGTGATCTGAAGTTCTGGTACCTTGACTCCATTGGCAATAGACTTTTCAATTGCGGAGACCTACAAAAGGATAAATGCTTCATTAGTTTCTCAGCAATAGGGTGGAAAATCAGCTAGCACTTACAATTCACAATTACATTGGCACTCATAGATTATACCACGTTAATAACTTGGCTAGACTGCTAGAGACTGTTGCTAATATGAAAAGATAGTACAATAATCAATTAATATAGATCAGAGCATGCCAAAAAGGATTATAAGCTTATGCCTTGTTGGATAATTCTACCATGTAAACCAGTTGAGTTAGATGCGAAGACAGGGCATCATACAACTGTTCACAGGATTGGAACCTATGAAAGAGGATACTAAGCTCTGACAAATGGAATCTGTATGGTGAAAAATCGCAGAACATGATCGCCCGAGCTGAGCATTTGTTTAATTCCTTTGAACAATTCATGCTTATAGTCTGGGTTAAGACTTAAAATTGACTCAATTTTCAAGGCCTTATAGGTTTCTGCCACCTAACTCGCACTAAAAGAAAACCGAAACAAACAAATGGGTTCACATTCAAACGCCATAGTCAGGAATACCGCATCTTGACTCAAAAACTTAAGGCTTAAAGTCTATGAGTTCTCTTCATTTTATATTAGTTACACATAACACTACTTATTTGGGAAACATGAAAATGAAGGCAAAGAAATGAAGTAGGGATGAAACAATGAGTGGGAAAGGGCCAATCTTTTCCCTCACCATGTAGTCTACTACTTGACAAGAAAAAATCAGATTCCCTAAAACTTTCAGTGTGGTCCCGGGGCATCTGAATCTGAGCCAATAGATTAGAGATCCTCTGCTTATCAGAAATCAACTACTTAAAAAAGAAAAGTTGCTGAAACATCCCTTCGACTCTTCCCCTAAGCTTAAATTATGCCAAGTTTGAAACCCAAAACTCTCTTAAGCCCGCTTGAGAGCAACTTGATGTTTAAGATCGAGATTTAGACATCCAATACTTACATCAAGCATTCAAATTCAACACCGCGCCTTAACGTAGATTTGATTATGAACAAGCTGCAAGTCTAGTTTTTCTCTATCTTCAGAAGGTTCGAATTTAAATACCACAAATTTCTACGAATTTGCCTGTATGAAACCCCTGCACTCGTAGCTGCGGGATCATGATAACCCACTAAGTTGAACTGTCATGCACTCCGTCGCTATAGCTATCAGTTATTCACGGATAGAAATGGTGGATACTTAAAGTAGTATTGAAAAGCAAGGTAATTAGCTCGACCTATGAACCATTTAAACCGTGGAAATTTGAACGGTTAAATGAAATGCTTTGTTTAATACTATTCGACTACAACTTAAACCATTAATACTTATATCAGGATCTTCACCGATAACAAAAATAGACATTAATGACAATTACAGGTAAAAGACACAATTATTTGTTGCGACCAGGGGAAAACACAACTGGACTGTCCAATGGGTTTTAAGAGGAACGCATCTTAATCCAAAACTTCAAAACATTGAGTTTACAAATCTTTTTTTACTTATGTAGCTCTTCTTCAATTCAATTCCAATCCACGTGAGACTTTTTGCCGATGTCAAGTCATCTTGACATCCAATATTATAGACACCAAAAAAAGTAGTAGGGGGTTTTGCTTACCTGCTCCGCCAGCTTGTCAACTTCCACAGACACGTCCGAAATGGCGCAACGGGCACTCTGGATCTTGGCATTCCTACGCATTTCAAGGAAGCGACGCTCAATGCTGGCCGGGTCTTGAATTAGAACGATTTTTGAACGGTCTTTAACCCCACATGTGTCCAAATATTCTGCATTTTCTCGCTCTTTTCCTCGGAAAACAAGTCTCTGTTCACCCGGCTGTAACCCTGTCCGCTCCGTTAACAGCTTCTTCACCTCCCCTGTAATTAAGTTTTTCATTTTTCTTTCTCAGTTTCCATCACAAATCGTATCAAATGCCAAAGATAGTGGCCGCGCATCCTTCTAGAACAATCATCAATTCTTTTGTCATCATGACTTGTTTGGTTTCTAAGATGCAGAGAGAAAACTAAAAAAATCCACCATGCAATGCTACGACGTAGCATTGGTAATGATGGTACTACTGAACTCACCACCTAACTCAATTTTGACATTCCAACGCAGTTACTAGCCTGTTAAATTTTCTCAGCAGCCAAACAGGAAATGAAAATGTAACAATGGCAATCCTAGATCCAGCTTATCTTACCGAAAGTCACTATGGAACTAACTGACATCTCATATCGTAGAGCACCATATGCAATTCGAAGCCGCAAAGTCGGCACCGGAGCTTCTGTTTTTTCACTTCTTTTCTGCACCAGCATTCCTCCAGGCCTCATTTCCCACTCAGCATCTTCGCCTCTCGAAGTATACGACGACGAAGACGACGGCACCGGCGTCCTCGTCGTTGTGGAGCCGCCATCGGTTCTACCATACGCATTGAGTCTACTCCTCATCATTTTGAACTCAATTTTCCCGGGAAAAAAGTCTCGAACAACATAAAAAGAAGCAAGAGAGAAGGAGGGAGACTGTTTTCTCGGGAAAGTGACAGAAAATACCTCTAAGGCATGAGTGGAGAACGTTGCATTGATCTGCCGACACTATCAAGTTGTAATGTTGGGTGTGTGGGGATTTTATAGTGCTGGCGCAGTGGGGAAAAGCATCGTGAGTGGGCGGAGTACGACGGGAGAATCTTGGGCCAATGAGAGGTGTGCCGCGTGTCTGGGTTCGTTCGTTTGTGTGCAGTGACAGCTAAGCAGAGGGAGGTTGCCGACAGCCCAAGGAAGCATCCAGCTCCGAGAGAAGCGACACATGGCCTTGTTTTTTTTTTTTTTTTTGCCCCAACATCACATGGCCTTGTTGCTTATACTTTATAGGGCTCAGTTTGATACGTGGAGAGTCATAATTGGACGATAAATTGTAGGTCCTCCTTGTGATTCGTGGAGTTAGTTATTATTTTAGAATAAAATGTGACTGGATTACTTAATAAGCAATTTCCAATTCTATCAATTGTTCCTTTAGGGGACCTGCGCAATAAATATATTTTAATTTATCATATTTTATATTGCATTTGATAGACTTCAATTTTTGTATCATGTCAATCTTTTAGTCAGCATTGTCACCTACCTTGCTTGCAAAAGATCATGAGTTTGAACATAACATTAACATGAATTTATATATATGTGTGTCTCATTTCTATAGGAAAGGGTTAAATTAAAAATAAAATTTTTTAAAAAAATTATGTCTAAATTCAATTTATAAGACATTTTTTAATAAAATTATATCTACTAATCATGTGTATTAAGTACAATTTATAATCTTTTAAAAATATCCTTTATTGGTAAAAGAGATGGGAGGGAAATAAATTTATTTAAACAGTAAAATAATGAGAGATGATATTGGAATAATTATCATTGAAATTTTTTTTGTCAAAAACACCTTATATTTTGAGATATCACATTACCTCAAAAGCTAGTTTAGAAATTGAAATGGAGAGAGTAAGTATCATGGAAGATTACATATAGTATTCCAAACTAAACTACCCCTTCTTTTCATTGTTAATATTAAAAATTACCTTGTTGGTTGCATTATTGGAAGGGAACTTGAGAAGAAAATAAACATGAAAGTTTAAAGAAATTAAATTGAGTTCTTATATTCAATATTAAAACAAAATTTTCAACTAACTTCTCCATATAAGATATAACAAGAAGTATGTAGACGAATTTTTAATTCACAGAGTCATAAAATACTCTTTTGCATGGAAAAAAAATAATATAAACATGTTAGCTTGACTTTTGTAAAATTTAAGAAGATCTAGATTGAAAATTTAACACTAGAAGTGACAACTAAAATCCACCATGTAAGCAATATATAAACCCTTCATATAGTCAAAGTGTAACGAGATCCCTTAATTCAATTAAATATTAATCCCGGGTTGTTAGAAGTGATCTGTCTCCTTTAAACAAAGATTAGAAGTAGTCCAAGCAAAACCACTGAGCCAACCAATAATCACAAACCACGAAGGACCCTACGATCAGTTGACTTTGAACTCCAACAAACGGCCAGGATTGGTTCACATATCTGAAAATCACGTCAGCATGATGGCCCACGTAGCTTTATTCACAAACATGTTCCGGTTCACATATCCCCTGCCTACCAATGAAAGTGAAATATGCATGCGCATTAACGCAAACCCCATCCATGAAGTCATGAACTATACCATCCATTCAATGTAAGATCACTTGTTAGGTAGGATTAGCTGGCTATCCAATGAAAAAAAAAAAAAAAAGAACCCATTAATAACGTGGTTTATATTTATATTTATATTAAAATTAAAACCCGTTGCTGCCACTTCAATATACTATAGCTTCTTTGCTACAAGGCATTTTTTCACTGTAGCAATATATTATAACTTTTTATATTTTGGTGTTTTACATTTTTTTATGAATTTAAAGAATCACTTTATTTCTTTTTTTCCTTTTTAGTTTCGATCTTTTATTTAGAAATTTAGTTTAGGTCGCTTAGTGTTTTATTTTGTTGCAGCGCTTTTTAATCTTGTTCATATCTTGTTATGTGTCTTTAGTTGCTTATTTTGTTTATATATGATTTTAGATGACCTTGAGATGAATTTAAATAAAGCATGAAATGATATTAAAAGTGGAGAGAATTTACCAAGAGAAAGATGACATAACATGTCATCTGGTTGCCACAATAAATTCCTACAATAGAGCTTGATCTCATATAAGCACCAGAATAGGAACCTACCATCGCAATTTTTACAGTTAAAATGCATAGCTTAAGGAAGCTAGTTTTTGGAACTAGGCTTCATTTTTTACGTTTTTTAATCTTGGAGCGATTTTGGAAATCTTTGATCGAATTTAGAGCATGGAAGGAAGATAACTCATCACAATTCGCGTCTTTATTGAGTTTCTATGACTTTTCCCGTTCTCTCTCTTATGTGCCCGAATTTGAACCATTATTCTATTGTTTTGATGTTTTATTTAGCTATATAGATAGCGAAACTTTTTTTTTTTTGGTAAGATATGTAGCGAAACTTTGATATTATAAAGTGCTATGAACTCATTTGTTCTGACTATATCTCAGACTCTGTTTGGTAACTTGAAATCATGGAGAAAGAAATGAAATTGAACATGAAATCTGTTAACATGTATGTTTGGTATGCAATAATTATGATTCTTTGAAATTAGGATTTAAGAAAATTTGACAGAATCTAATTCCATCACATGCATCATGAAATCCAATTCCATGGTTTCCTTTCTCCAGTTTGCCCCTTCTCTCTCCTCCAATATAATTTTTTTTAATTTTAAAAAGGACACTTTAGTCTTTTCTTATTTTAAGTACTTATATTTTATTAAAAGTATATCAGGATTCCATCATCATACCAAACACACTTTTAAATCCAATTCTGATTTCGATTTCGATTTCGATTCCATTAAAAACTCTTCCATCATACCAAACATGGCCTTAATGTATTGATTAGTTTGTCATTAATGAATGTTTTATATTTTAATTCTAGTTTAAATTTGTATTGTTTAATAGTCGGCCACCATTAAGCGATAATTTAAAAAAAAATAAAATGAATCTCAAAAAGTAATTTCTATTTGGGCCATTATATTGGAATTGAATGTTTATGATTAATTATAGTTAATTTGCCTCTAGGACAAAAGTATATTTGAAAGACCTAAATGGTTAAAAGGAATTTGAACTTAATGCTCTTAGAATCTAATTTTAGCAAGGAATTGTTAGGTTAGACTTAAGTATGAATTTGAGTAATCTGAAAATATTCAAGATTAATTCAAAACTTAAATTAAAATTAAGTTAATCCTTGATATATAATGTTTTTTAAATGGCCATGATCTTTATGATTTGCTAATGTCAGATCTAAAGCTTTCCTATGATGTTTTTTTTTAATACAATGTCACAGCAAACTTGTGATAATAACGAGTGATAAAACAAGTTAAGTTAAACGAGCAACTTGAAGGAATATTAAATAAATAATAAACTAAGTAAACGAGTTTGGTCATAATGTTACCAAATTCGGGTTTAGCAGGGTCTACCCGACTATCCACACGAATTTAGATTATTAGAGTTTAAACTATAGCACACAATAGATGCACTAAAAAGAAAATGAGAGAGAGAGGAAGAGTGAACTAGAGAACTATTCACTCTGGGATGATTTTTATCTCCAACCACTTGTTTCTATTTATAGTGGAGGGAGGCTTCCACCAATAAGGGGAATCCAATCAATAATAATTTGCCTCATTATTTAGGAAATAAAATTATTGAAATAATTACCATCATTGTGGAGGATTATTTCTCATTTTGAAATTCAATAAAAAAAATTAATTAAATTAATTTCATATTCCGATCAACTCATCATTACCAGATTCTTATCATATCCCAATGATGGCTCATCAAGGGTGAATTTTATGCAAATTTCAGCACAACCAAAAGATAGATGTCCACACTCTAAAGGTAGATAGAAAAGCATCCTAGTATCAATCATCATAGTTTACGCCCAACACAAACAAGTAAGGAGATAAAGGGTCCCTTTATCTAATTTTGCTTGTGGGTTTAAACTCATTACCATTTCACAAAATAGACATATTTGATTAGCAGAATTAGTGCATAATCACATCCACCACACGAAGAGGAAGCTTAATTTCAAGAAGTACCTTGATAAGAAAGCTTCAAGCCATTCTATCATAAGCCTTCTCCAACTCAATTTTAATCACCATGTACCCCTTCCCTCCCCTCATTCAAGACATGGTATTAGCCATCTCCTGTAATAATATTGTCCTGGATATTTCTACTAAGAACAAAGCTAGCTTGATAGGGTAAAACCAATTTATCCATAAGAGGCTTCATTCTCTTCACTATCAACTTTGACAGTCCCTTATAAAGGACATTACACAAAGCAATGGGTTTGAAATGTATAACAACCTCTGAACTATCCAACTTAGGAATCATGGCAAGCAAGGTCTAATTAACTTCACTAATTCTTTCAAGTTCATTCCACAAAATCTTCAAAAACTTTACCACACTTTCCCCCACCATACTCAAATTTTTTTTGATAGAACACTGCCGGAAATCCATCCCCACTAAGAGCTTTAAAATTGCCAATATCAAAGAAAGCATCCCTAATTTCATCACTTGTCACATCCCGACCCACTCTCTTTAAGTCCTCCTCCCCCACTAATTCCCAACGTGGTCCAATACCTACCCATCTTCTATTAAGACAGTATTCCTTAAACAAATTATGATAGTACTTCTTCCCCATGCCAGAAATAACATTCTCATCCCACGCCCACTCACCTTTATCATTCTTCAAAAAAAGCACTTTATTTTTTGTATGCCTCACTACAACCTTATTATGATAAAATTGTGCATTGCGATCACCATGATCCAACCACTTCCCTCTATATTTTCAAAACCACAAAATCTCCTCTTGCTTTCAAGGTATCTAACAACTCTAATTTAAGTTCTTTTTCCAACTTCAACAAGAATGGATTATCCTTTCTATCTCAACAGCATCGAATACCAAAAAGCCTTTGATTAAGAATTCGCTTCCTTTAATCAATTCTCCTAAATAC